TATAATCGTTGGTCTGGGGGACTGGACCGATAAGTATCCATCCAAACACTGAGCCAAAAGCCACTGGCAGCGACTCTCCGACGGAGACGCGATTACCGTCGAGTATACGTGCGAACAAGTCTGCGCCGAGCAATAAGTCCACATTATTAGGCACCGCAAATGACGGATCAGCTAAAGCTAGGTTATCATATTTCGCGGCTATGTCATCAGCAATACCTTCACTGGGCATCTGGACGGTAATAGTAGGAAACATCCATGCGTTGAATGTAAAAATAGGCTCTGTCGCGTATCTTGGTCGTATATCACACTTTACTAACCCTTGAACATTTGGTACTGATGTCCCTGACAAACCAGAAACCGGGGCCGTCCATCGTGTAACCCGAAGTCCTAATCGCGTAACACAGGCCGAAGTTATTGCATTAATTTGTGACGCCGAGTCAACAAGTGCCCGAACCGTGTGTAAAACGCCAACACAGTCGCGTATGTGTACGAGGACTGTTCCTAATAATACTGAATGACCAACAGTCGGGCCGTATCCAGTGAGTGACGCTGGAACAACAGTTTCATCTTGCAGTGGTTGACTATTGGTTGTAACATTGGACATCGGCATAATACGGACGTTAGCATCTGTGTGTAATAGTGGGTGATGTCGTTGAGTACAGTTGTCACACGCTATCGGTGCCCGACAATCGGGTGCCCAATGACCGACACGGAGACAACGAAAGCACGCTTTATTTTCACGTACCCATTTAATACGTGTGGCGGCGGCCCATGTTTTGAACGTTTTACAACTGGATACTGCATGCCCACCGTTACAAATTTTACACACACTGCTCGACCTATTGTTAGTGGATACTAACGACAACGACATTGGTTGTCTCCGATTTTTAAATCCTGTCTGCAACGTGTTTTGAAGTCTCGGCAGTTGCCTTTGAGTCCTTGGAGTAGACTCCTGTGGCACGCACTCAAGCACGNCACAGTAACTTTATTATACATATATATATTTATAAACTAATAAATATTCAATATATCAATATATTAACATTAGAATAATAATAGTAGAAAAAAAAACAAACAAAACGAAACATCACCCAGCCATCAGCTATCCATAGTGCAATTAACGTTGAATCGACTGCCAAAACGCTTCCCAAAGTAATTCTTCCTTTTGCGTTAGGAATGTGCAACCTCCGCTGCTCTATTTCCGTTGAGCACTCGAGTAATAGCACGTAACTGGTAATATAAAGTGTTGGTTGTCACCTAAACAGGCCAATACCAACCAAAAAACAATGAAACAAATTAAAAACACGCCAGCTCACTGGCCACGAGTCATCAGACTCAAGAGATGCGGTACGACATCAATCGCGTACACCGACGTAGTTAGTGACGGCAAACTGCCGGTAGTGCCGGACACGAGTGTCGTCATTACATGGAGAGGGGTAATGCGATTCGAGCTATGTGGGGAACTTGACCGGTACACACTTTAACTTTTGAACAAATAGATAGAGTAAAACTATGTTTTTGAATTAATCCGTCAATATAAGATGACAGCATTCAACAGCACAATTTAACAACAATCAACACTAAATGCAACAGGAAAGCAAACCTTCTAGTCAATTCTTTACAGGATATTTTATAATTAGAAATGGCTTACATCACAGATATGTCTTCTCAACATTTAATGTTCAATGAATGCGTCATTAAATTAATGCCTAAAAGATTTTTTAAAAATCGTATACGGCAGTAATTTAAGTAAACCTATGGAAAGTAAAGTTGGGAATATACTATAGCTAATCTACTACTAAAAAAGTTCCCACAGTACCTTGGTAAAAAAGTCGTAAAAAAAAGTATAGAAAATGTTTGAAGTATTATCAATAAAAATTTCGCAATAATCTTTCCAGTTTTCAAGAAATTATTTCAATATAAAGTGAATACTAAAAATATCAACATAATTATTTTACAATAATTTTTGGAACATTTCTATTTATTACGTGGATTAAGAGGAATAATTTAAAAAAATTACAACACCGATTATTTTAACTAGATACATTTATTGATCTTTTGACGAATCATTAGGCAAAATTGATCCCAGTAGAAGAAAAGTAACCTTGTGTAGTGACAAAAAAAAAACATGGCAAAGTAAAACAAAGGTAAAAGAGCTATTTAACAATGACTTTATCTATACATCAACATGGAATTTGATATAATCTTCATTTTTTTAATAAGACTTTTACATGTCTAGTTGTTCCAATGAAAATAACATCATCATTGCTTTAAAAGTGTTCTTATTTCCTATGATCAAACGAAGCGAAGGAAGTCATTTAGTTGAGATCTTGAATTATAACACCAAAATCAACTTACTACAAAAGTGAAATCTAGCAATCAAGAACAAATTATAATATTTTTTATTAATATATTATCCTCTTTTTTTTATTTTGTATAATATCTTTAATTACAATATTTACAAATCTATGTGCAGTGTTCAATAAAAATAGAAAACCTTTTTTTATATAAATAAATATATAGAACAAAAAAAAACATTAAAAAATGTACCATTTTAAATAAAATTAATTTATATACACACACATATATATAGATGTGTTTACACTTTACTAAATACTTTAGGACATTTTTTTTTTAGTTCTTTTGGGCAAAATTTGTCAACCACATCTTCAATTAAAGTTTTATAATCAAATATTTTTGATAAATGACGACTAACTTCTTCTAGTTGATCTCTAGTTACCCTACTTCTTTGAATATTATCCTAGAAAATATATATTAATAATCATAAATGAAAATATTCTTATTACATTTGTATAATATTTACCTTAATAAGTTCTACTATGTCATCTCGTAAATTTAAATCATTACATTCATGTTCAATTAATTGTAAAAGATCAGTCATCCTCTCAATGACATCATCTTCAATTTTTACCTGTAAAAAATTTAATAGTTACTTAGAAAATTAATATAAAATAAATATTATAAATATAAATATAATAAATAGGTGAAATATATGAAATAATCCAGAGGAGGTAAAATACAAGTAATTTAAGGAATAATAAAAATATATAAACAATGGTTAATTATAAACTACTCTATTACTTGCAAAATAAATACAATAATAGAAAAAACATTGTTTTTTTTTAGTAACATTTATTTTTTAGTAACAGCTCATAATTACTTTTTAAAATTATCCCTAATAACTTAAATGGATATCAACTTTTTATTTTTATAAAGGTGACATACATAATTAACTAACTTATAAAAAATAATGAAAATGACTGCTCGATAACAAGTTTTCACAACTGAATGTTTATAACTTTAGTTGTGTACATTTTCTTATTTTGAAGCTGGTTGAATTTATATGTTAACATTAAATAAAAACATAATTTGACAAAACTTTTAGGGGAAACTGGTAAAGAATTTTTTTAAAATTATAGAATGTATGATTCTATTGAAAAGAAAAAGATATAGCATGTTTTATATTTAAAAAAATACTATGCGAGTTATTGTTAAAAAATTACTTAGTTCTTAAAGAAATTGTTTAGTTTTTTAGTATTTAAATAATTTATGGATAACAAATTGACCATCAATTATTATTATTATGACTCATAAATTTATTTCTGAAATGTATATAAAATTTTTCAATTTACAACAGATTAAAAGCAATACCATTATAATTGATCTATTCATTAAAAAAAGGATAGCTAATATGTTTAAAATGTTGATTACAACTTTTGGATCAGTATTTCAGAAGTTTTAAAAATTTAAAGTAATGACTGGTGGTATGGAGTGGGTGCTGCTATATTTATCACTAGTCACTCTTCGTCCCACTTAAGTATAAAATTGAGAATAACTTAAAAATTACTGGTCCAGTTTCTTTATTAGATTATTTCCTTTTTTATACACTATATAAATAAGTATGTTGCTATTTAAACAATAAAATTGTACGAGATAATTTTAAAAAGTAATTATTAACTAATAAATCATTAAATATATGTAACTAAAAGAAATTAAAAAATTTCTTTCTAATATTGTATTTATTTTGCAATTAATTAGTAGTTCATGATAAACCGATCACTTTGTATTTATACATATACTGAATATAGGATGTTCAGTAAGTAAGGAAACGGGTTTCTATTATTCTCATTGTTTGTAACAATTTACTTGTTTCCTTACTTACTAAACACTCTGTATAAATTGAATATATAGAGAGGAGATAAAATATTATTAGGCTAATATTTTTGAGGAGTAATTCAACTACTAATGATCTCTTGAATACACCATAGCAATTATTTCAAAAATAAAAATTTTCAAATAACAAAATATTATACTTGATTTATTGAAAACTTTTTAAAGTAAATCAAATTTGTGATGTACAGTTATATGGGATAAGTCAAGTTTTGATTATTATTATACTAAGAACAATATAAATTAATATTTTTTTAGAATTTCTTATTTTTATATAAATTATTTAATATCACAATTATGTTAATAAGTTCTTGCATGGAATTTCACTAAATGTAACATAACATTGATGAAAATTATTGAAAATTTATTATGGAAATTATTTTATATAATAAAGAAAATTTTGTTATATACCTTAATATTGATGATAATTAATATCAAAGAATATTATACTTATTTAAAAAAAAATTATCTAATTAGTAATTGATTATCGTATAACTTTTATCAACACAAAACCAAACACTACAGANATGAAATAATCCAGAGGAGGTAAAATACAAGTAATTTAAGGAATAATAAAAATATATAAACAATGGTTAATTATAAACTACTCTATTACTTGCAAAATAAATACAATAATAGAAAAAACATTGTTTTTTTTTAGTAACATTTATTTTTTAGTAACAGCTCATAATTACTTTTTAAAATTATCCCTAATAACTTAAATGGATATCAACTTTTTATTTTTATAAAGGTGACATACATAATTAACTAACTTATAAAAAATAATGAAAATGACTGCTCGATAACAAGTTTTCACAACTGAATGTTTATAACTTTAGTTGTGTACATTTTCTTATTTTGAAGCTGGTTGAATTTATATGTTAACATTAAATAAAAACATAATTTGACAAAACTTTTAGGGGAAACTGGTAAAGAATTTTTTTAAAATTATAGAATGTATGATTCTATTGAAAAGAAAAAGATATAGCATGTTTTATATTTAAAAAAATACTATGCGAGTTATTGTTAAAAAATTACTTAGTTCTTAAAGAAATTGTTTAGTTTTTTAGTATTTAAATAATTTATGGATAACAAATTGACCATCAATTATTATTATTATGACTCATAAATTTATTTCTGAAATGTATATAAAATTTTTCAATTTACAACAGATTAAAAGCAATACCATTATAATTGATCTATTCATTAAAAAAAGGATAGCTAATATGTTTAAAATGTTGATTACAACTTTTGGATCAGTATTTCAGAAGTTTTAAAAATTTAAAGTAATGACTGGTGGTATGGAGTGGGTGCTGCTATATTTATCACTAGTCACTCTTCGTCCCACTTAAGTATAAAATTGAGAATAACTTAAAAATTACTGGTCCAGTTTCTTTATTAGATTATTTCCTTTTTTATACACTATATAAATAAGTATGTTGCTATTTAAACAATAAAATTGTACGAGATAATTTTAAAAAGTAATTATTAACTAATAAATCATTAAATATATGTAACTAAAAGAAATTAAAAAATTTCTTTCTAATATTGTATTTATTTTGCAATTAATTAGTAGTTCATGATAAACCGATCACTTTGTATTTATACATATACTGAATATAGGATGTTCAGTAAGTAAGGAAACGGGTTTCTATTATTCTCATTGTTTGTAACAATTTACTTGTTTCCTTACTTACTAAACACTCTGTATAAATTGAATATATAGAGAGGAGATAAAATATTATTAGGCTAATATTTTTGAGGAGTAATTCAACTACTAATGATCTCTTGAATACACCATAGCAATTATTTCAAAAATAAAAATTTTCAAATAACAAAATATTATACTTGATTTATTGAAAACTTTTTAAAGTAAATCAAATTTGTGATGTACAGTTATATGGGATAAGTCAAGTTTTGATTATTATTATACTAAGAACAATATAAATTAATATTTTTTTAGAATTTCTTATTTTTATATAAATTATTTAATATCACAATTATGTTAATAAGTTCTTGCATGGAATTTCACTAAATGTAACATAACATTGATGAAAATTATTGAAAATTTATTATGGAAATTATTTTATATAATAAAGAAAATTTTGTTATATACCTTAATATTGATGATAATTAATATCAAAGAATATTATACTTATTTAAAAAAAAATTATCTAATTAGTAATTGATTATCGTATAACTTTTATCAACACAAAACCAAACACTACAGATATATTTCATATAATAGTATGCATATAGTATACAGTATACTCATTGAAAATATTGAAAGTGCAGTAACTTAAATTATATTGTGTATATTGGGATATTTTGTTTTTAATTTGTATGACATTAAATTAGATTCTGTATTTAATTTTAACTTAAAAAAAGAAAAATATGGAAATATTCAACTAATAAGAATAAACATAATGTCGTTTATAATTGTTTTAAAAATTCCAAATTGTTCACCTAAAATAAATTATTTGTTTTATTTTTGTTACCAAAAATAAATTAATAACTTTACCTTTAAAATACACAAATATTAAATATAGTGGTTATTTTGATAACTGAATTATAAATTTTTGTAATATTCCTTTCTCCTCAAAATATAATATATTATTTATAAATATATATAATAAAAATACATTTATTAAACGGTTTACTATAATAATTCATTAATTTATTATTTTAATTATGTCAAAATTGAATATAAAATGATGACTTATAAAATTAAATGGTATTAAAATGATAAACGGTTACATTTGTGTAATCAAAAAAGTAATTATGCTACCAATCATAAAATGTGATAATTTCATATTATGCTATTATGTCTTACCATCTTAAGTCCGAATAAGTACTATTTTAATAGTACACTAAAATTAATTTGCATTTATGATAATTTTATAATACACAGATTCCCAAACAAACACAAAACTTTATTCTTAATATGAACATATCTTAATACCATTTTGTGACAATAGATGACTTTAAAAAAAAATTGATAAAATACAGATTACATAAAACTATATTTATGTAAGTAGTAGCTTTATATTGTGTGATGTTGCAACTCACCACATGATATGTAATAATCATCTATGACCAATCAAAATCATTCTCATTTTGTGTAAGTTTGGAGTGAACAATTAAACTATTTCTTCTCCACTTACTATATAATTTTTGCACTTTTTCTTGTATAAAATCATCATACCTGTTACCCTTTTAGTAACAGTTTGGATTCAATAAAATTCAATATACTAAAACATAGTCAATTTCCAAACATACCACTAAATAAATGTCACCTATTCATCTGAACCATGTATCAATTTAAAGTTTAAGAATTATAAATTAAATATATGGAATACAAAATGCATCAGTTTAAATAATAACATGATTTTTCCCATTTAAGCACAAGAAAATTAAAAAAGTTAAATTAACTTATATTTGGTAAAACAATTCAATTTTCTATATAACTTAAAATATGACTAGTAAAAATTAAACATGACTACTCACCATTCCATCAAATTGTTTTAACAAATGTCTAACTCTCCATCCAGATCTACTGTCTGGTGCCCATTTTTTAGCTTGTTGAATTTCAGCTAATTGTTTTTTATTTTCTTTTACTTTAAAATCACTATGTCTAAAAAAAGTTATTAAAAAATTATTTATTTGTATATTTTTAAAGTACTACTGTTTACTTTTGAAAGTGATGTGATTGACCACGCCAAGAGTTCTTTAACCTTCCTAAAAGTGTAGGTCTTTTGTTCGTTGGATTGTATGTTGAGCTACCATCACTTAAATCTGTTGATATTTTTCCATCCTCAAAATAAGTTTTATCAGCTTTCACATAGTCAAACCCTGAAATATTGATATGTAAAATGTACATAAAAAAAAAAGTAATATAAACAACATTTATATTTTTATATTATACTTTTATCTATTAAATACCTATAAGGGTAAGCAAAATTTAAAAAAATTTTACATGTACACTATCAATTTATTTATAAAAAAATTTGTATTCAAAAATATTTTAGTATATAATTTTTCAACTGTTTAATATCCCAAAAAAATATATAAAACTTATATAATCATTATATAGGATGATTCGGTTAAGCATAAACCACTCAATTGCTCAAAAAATCAACAATATTAAAATACAAAAAATTGATTTTTATTTAGTTACATATCTTGATAAATCGGCTAATAATTAGTTTTTATAACCTTATCCCTTATAACTTATAGGGTTGTCAACTTTTTTTAAAATAAGCTTATAAAGCAATCTAATTTAAAAAATTATTGTTCTACAACAAGTTTTGGACCTGTCTTCTGAATTGTCATTTAGTAGTTTTTATCATTTTATATACACTGGAGGTAAAGCATGATAACTGCTAATTTTATCATTAAACATTTTTTGGCTACATTTTTCTCCCTACCAAGATATAAAAATGAGAATAACTTCTAAAGTACTACATCAAAAATTGTTACCAACCAGTTATTTTCTATATTATATAATTTTATATTTTATAAGCAAATTATATATGTTTCACTATGAATAGTCAATCAAAAAATAGTGTTATGAATTGTGTTTACCAGTGGTATTTTCTCCCTAAAATTAGTGTCTGACAAATATAAGAAATCTGCATTTACCAAAATAAAATGAGTATAAATATTTCAGATGGTAAGTTACCAAAACTTTAATTACAACAAGTATGTATTCTGTCATATACAGCAAGTGGTTATCTGCTTATTGATTAAAAAAAAAAATGTATTACCAATACCAACCTGAAACTCTTTTAAACGTACAGATATTGAATATTGATTAGTCAATATAATACTAAAAAGCTAAGTAATATTTCTAAATAACTTTTGACCCAAAGAAGTCTAGTAATGTTATCAAAGAATAAAAATGAAACATGAAAAAATTCAAAGTTACACCAATAACAAAATTTTTATAAAATTTGGATTGTATAGAAAAAAAATGTAGTAAGTTAAAAAAATTAATATTAAATTTAAAAAAAATATATAAACATTTATACCACAGATTTTGTGATAACTTATTTATAAAAAAAAAATATTTGTGAAATAATATAAATTACCATTGTCAAAGTCATTCCCAAATACAGTATCATCTTCATCGTTTTCATCATAATCATCATCAGCTGGACAGTCATCATCAACATCCATATCATTATCATCTAGTTCATCCTCTAGTTCATCTTCAGCATCCCCATCACCACAATCATCATTACAATCCAACACATCATCATCTGGGAATTCATTTTTATTGTGTTTAATTACCTTATCTTCAACATATTCCATTTCATCACCAACAATTTTGAATGGACTATTTTGATTCACAGGGCTACAATATAAAAACTTATTTAACTTATTTATACTAGTTCAAAATTAAAGGAAAAACAGATTCCTACAGTAATTGTTTACGAGGTTTTTTACGTGGACTAATTTCAACCATTAATTGTGATTGTGTTCTCTGTAATGCAGCAATTCGAGGTAACACGACTTCTGACACTTGAGGAGCTGTAAGTAGTTCATCATGGCAAATGGTTGTCTCATTATAACCATTTCTACTAGGCATAGATTCTTCTGTAATACAGTCTTCTGGTTCAGGTTTTGTTAGAATTGGTATAAGGTTTTTTTGGGCTTTAAGTACACTATCAAAATTTAGAAGTATTTTTAAATAAATATAGTATAAATAAAATTTACATAAGTTAATTCCAGTTTTTCCATACCCATCTGCATCACGTTTTCTTAAAATACTAGGTCTTGGAGATATAATTGGTTTAAATACATGCTGGTTATTAGGTACATTAAGGTTTGATTCTTCACTACATCCTGCAGAACCTGAAAATATCAATTCCTGTTATAGAACAAAATAAAACGAACACCACATAAACATTGTAAAAAAAAACATCTTAGTTATTATTTTTTTCTATTTTTATTAACTAGTACCGTTTTTACATAGATACTGGTAATTATTACCATAACTATGTTTAAAATAAAACACAAACAATTTGAAATTAAACATTTCTTTACAATGGGGTTAACTGTATTAATTTAAACTATTTAATGTCATAAGAGTAGAAATATAAATCAGTTTATGTCTACATTGGAATTTCAACTTTTATTTCAGGGTGATTAAAATCTTGGAACTTAAAATTAAATTACCATGAACAGCTGTATTATTAACACTTGTTTTGAGGTGATAATTTTTGGAAGGAAAACAATTTAAATCATTCTGATGATAAATTTCTGGTGTACCAGGTATATTTGATTGATTACTTGTGTATTTTACTACACTATCATATGTTCCTTAAAAATAAAATAAATATAAAATAGGTGAGAAGAAAATTTTACACCTAATTCAAAAATACAAGGGTGGTTTGAAAAATAAGATTCTTGTGGTTTTTATAACAAAGGAAACCAAAATCTAAAGATGTTACTAAAAAAGATTTTTTTTACTGTGGAAATCTGGATTTTGTAATTTTTATAAACTTTAAATCTTTGTAGTGTGTCAAAGTATATCTAATGCTTTGCATTACACTTCTTAAATTTATCAATGAAAAATTTATAATCAGTATTTTATATTACTTGTATACAAACAAATTATTTATTTATTTTTCATAAAATTTACACTGTTGTATACTATTAATTATATATGTATATATATGTATCACTTGATCATTGTATACTATGCATCTTATTTTAAAATAATAATCAAGTTATGTTCAATTTAATACAATAAACTGAAAATCACTAAAAGTGCTCACGACAATATCCCAAGATGAAGATAATCAAAAATAATATAAAAAAGCTTAGTTATGCTTACACATCCTTGAGGGAGTCATTGAGAGAGCTACTTTTGAAGGTTCTAGAATCAATACAGAACTCAGAACTCTCTCGGCGAATTAATTCTTTTAACTGGCCGCGACCCCATGTTGTAATAGGTACATATTAGTGTGTCATTCATTTACATTTTGCGTATAAAAATTATTTATTATTCTTTCCAAAAACTTGGAAATGTATAAAAAAAATTATTGAAAAGACGCCGGTCTTTTTTGACTGTCACTAAATATTTTGAAATTAAAAGACAGGGTAAGTCAATTTACATTAATCTAAATGTTTACAGTTAACCCAACCCAACCTGAGTAAAAAAGGATAAAGCAATATATCAAATACTTTTATTAATTTTCAAACTTTAATTATCACTGATTAGTTTGTACCGTATATACCTAATCAAATTTCATGAGATAGCCACAATCTCATCGTTGCTTAAAAGAATTTAAAACTTAATGTGATTTCTACTGTATACATAACACTTCGTCTGAGTATTCATAAAACAACCTTTTGTTACCTTAGTGTTTTGCAGAGACTTACCAGTCAGCCTATTTAGATCATCTCTATAAAAAGGAACTTTAATTATTTCTTTTTATACCAACTTTTCTTTATTGTTCTAAGCCTTCAAACTATATAACCTAATAGAACCTCAATGCTAACTAATTGACCAAAACTCAAACACCCTACCTTGGTCATATAACCACATAACATATTACTTTTTTTTATTATTAAAAGTAGACAAATTATAAAATATAGATATTTCAAAATAATTACTGCATTTCTATTAACCAATGTGATTCTTATTAACACTAAAAATCTATTTTCTAGATTGGGGATTGTGATTGTAAAAAAAATCATAAAAATTTGTCATTATTATAACTTTTAAAAATGTTAAAACATTTATTTAAATGTTAAAATTTATATTAAGTATCTACTCTAAAAGGCTCTTTTAATACTAGACGATGAATTTTTTTTTAAATAATAATTATGTCGAAAAAATTATATTTGGTATTTTTTAATGTCATATATTTCTTAATTTAACAGTTATTAATTACTTTTTTAATTCATTCTTTATACCTTAATAGGGCGTTAAATTATTTTTTGTATAATTGCTATATACATATTTAAGTAGTTTATAAAATAAAAAATTACCTAATGAAAAAAAGACTAATGAATAACAATTATTGACCTATTATTTTGGAAGTTATTAACAATTAAAAAAAAGACTGGAATCAGGTGCACGTATGACAATTTTTAGTGTTAGATATTGCAATCCTATTGTATCTAGATATAAAAATGTAAATAACTTTCAAATTATTGATATAAAATTTGTTTTCTTAATTAGATAATTTCCTAATTTATAAATAAGTTAAAAATATATGTTATACTTTAAAAAATACCCTTATAAGGTATAGATTAAAAAGTAATTAATAACTGATAAATCAAGAAATATATGATACTAAAAAAAAGAAAAATAATTTTATTTATTTAATTATAATTAAAAAAAAAAATTGAATGTTTAAAATAATCATTCTGTATACATATATAGCACATATAGAGTATTTGAAGTAAATTTTATTTAAAGAAAAATATTTTTTATGGTAAAATGAATAACTTTGATGAATCTTATTATCTAGGAACTCAAACATATTGTATAAAAGTATAAAAACAGGACTCAAGTGATATGTTATCAATCCATTGTAAATTACATTAAAATTAAAAACTTACCAGTTTTATTTATAACTGAAAAATGTGGCACCATTGAATGAGCTGATACGGGTACCTTTTTTAATATAAACAAACAAAAAATAATATTAAATTATAATACAAAAACAACGTAAAATAATTATTTAATATCAATTACCTTAGAAGGTACACTTTCATTTGATGCATGAATGACATGTGCCATTTTAGAATGAGATGAAATAACTCTACAAGACTTCTTTATGTGTGGTGATGATTTACATGCTTTATATGCCTGTAAAAAAAAAGTTGTATATAAAAAAAAATAATGATAATGAATTCTATATAAAAGATATATTTATAACTAATAACATCAGAAGGGCTTTTTTAAAACTTTAAGAATGAAAAGGTTAAGAAGAGAGACTTAGATTTTTTTAACATCTAATAAAATGACAAATTTTTTGACACCAATACTCATAATTTTATTAAAAGTATTGGCCAATATATTAAAATTACTGATAATTATAATAAAAGTAATATTGTTATCTTCGATAACAACAAAATATATTGATATCTATTAAGTTTTGTTGAAACAAGCATTGTACATTAAGTAAAGCACTTTCAAAAGCAAAAATTAAAAGAATTAAAATAAAAAATAACATTTTATAGTATTATAAAATGTTGATTTAATATTAAGTTCCTAAAAAAAAATCTAAAAGTGTAATTACCTCTTTTATATGCTAGATTATTTATATATAGCATCAGATTTAAATTATAACTTAATAGCCTAGATGGAAACAATTTTTGCTGGAGTATATCTTTATGTTATTTAATACCACATTATATATTTCAGACATCCTCTACATACATTATTTTTAAACTTTTTAAGCAGTGGCCTGAATATTAGATAATTCACTACTTTTAAAGTTAAATAGTTTTTTATTTTTTTATATCAACAATCTTGAATTTTGTCATTAATATTTGAATCAATTTTTTTCATCAAATATGAATGAAAATTAAAAATATCATACAAACATTATTTAATATAAAATTTTAATGGGACATTTAAAATATAAAAAGTCAATAGTAATCACTAAAAGTTGTTTTAACAAAATTTTACTATACTTATCAATTAGACTTAATTCATAATAAATTTAATTGTTTAATAGTAATAATAAAATTTATAAACACAAATATATAAGAATGAAAAATTTTTAATTCAATAAATTTTAAACTAAATTACAACTCAAAAATGAATTTAGAGACACTATGACTTAACCTTAATGAAAAAATTACAGAAATTAAACAAATTAAACAAATTAGACATATGATTAGTGGTATTGTTTCTTATTCTCGTATATTATACAAAATAATTTAATTTGTAAATGTACCTATTTGATTCTAAAGATAAAAACATAGTTATTGGATAAACCCATTTTGTTATATTATAACTTGAACAGATAATTACTTTCATTTTCATTTACATATATATTTATAATTTTACCTTATTTAGTTAATAGTACACACTTTAAAAATTTTTATTTTTATTAATAAAGTTATATCAAACTTACTTTGGAAAAATACATCTACTATATTTTGATAATTACTCAAAACTTCAAATAAATCTAAATAATTATACAACTAAAACAGAATTTAAGCTAATTATGAAGTTTTCTTTTAACTTTATATTTGTGAAATTATTAATTTCCTAAATAAATTAAAACTTTTTTAATGATATTACTTTATGATTTTTATAATAAAATGTACTGAAATTAATTCCTTTTCATAATAGGTAAAAAATAATAATGATTAATTTCATAATAATGAGTAAAAATCCATAGAATAAATATACAATACCAACTGTATTATATCACAAACAAAAAAAAAAATTAAAAGTATATAATTTACCCAATTTATTATTATTAATAGAGGAGTTCTAAATTACAAATTTAACAATATGTTACATAAAGACACATTACACTGATGATTTTTAGTAAAAATCAGAATCTGAATGTAACTATCCTTAAAACTATCAAAATACTTAATAACATTTTAAAAATATATTCATTATATCAACAAAAAAAATAAATACATAAAATAAGATTTCTTACTGTCGTATGAGTCGAATTCAATCAATCTTATTTAGTAGCTAAACTATAGAATCATTGATTTTACCAATCTATACATAAGAAGATCCGTCTTCAACGTTTAGAAAACAACCACAATAACAATAATATTAACTCAAAGTACATAGGCCATAAACGACGCACTACAATCTGCAAACGAGTGTGGATATAATAATTCGTTTCCCAGTTATTTTTTGATAAGATAATTTCAATACGGCAGCCATTACCAACTTGGTACTTTTGATTATAAGTTAAAATACCAGCAACACGATCTACAAATAAACAGAATATCAACCACCAGATGTCGTACTATTTTAAAAAATCCTATCCACTTAGTTAAATTAATATAGGCTGATAAAATAAAATAAATAGACTTTTAATTAAAAATATCCGAGTTCTACTCATAGATTTGTTATCTATTATTTTTACGCTATGACCTTTACCCATTGACAGCCATAGCAGTCTCCCCTAAAGAGAAGGTTTCTTACCATGGATACTTCAGGACGGGTGGTTTTAAACTTTCTTAAATATTATTTTTTCTGAATATCTTTATAAAATGCATTATTTTGAAAATTATTTTACTTGTAAAAACTTTTATTTCTATTATATCAATATAACACTAACACAATTTTAATGAAAAAACTAGATTTTCTTAAATTAACGTATGACTTATTAATTACTAAAAAGGTATTCGTTTAATGAGCATTATTTTAACATTTTATAAAGATACTTGCATTTATTAAAAACCCGTATTAGGAAAGAGGCAAAGTTGAAACTAGTAAAGATTGATATTTGATAATCTAACATCACTATCACTAAATGCTTCAATGTGAATTTGCCTTAAGAAAATTTTGTTAAATTTTTTTTAATATAAGGAATTTTATTTTACTAAAGTAGAGTAAGCTCTACAAAATACGACAGTAGTGTAAGCAATATTTTATAGTAAAAATTACATAGAGAATATTTTATTTAAAACAAAAAAATGTTGACATATTTTTTACAAGTTCAAACCCCCCTTATACCTCGATTATAAATTTAATTTCCAAAAAAAGTAAATCGGTGGAAAGGTACTTGCCTATAGTATCAATAATTAAAAATAGTAATCCATTTTTTCTGTAAAAAGATGTATTAGTTTAAAATTACGAAAAAATAAAAAATTGCATTTCTCATGGATCGAATTTTTAAAAAAAATATATATATATATATTTATGTTTTCTTTAATTCCAATTTTTTTCTAATATAATAGAAAAAATTAAAAGTAAGTGTAGATGTACAAAAGTGCAATACCATTTTAGATGTGTTGATAAATTTATAAAATTCGTGCAATAAATAAACATATCGAACTCCAGAACGTTTATCAACAGTGCACTTAACAAATTCTTTCAAAGTTCTAGAATGATTACAACCCATTTAAAAAAATTTTTCTATATTTATAATATATATCTGGACTTCCTTTACAAATAACAAAAGGTTATTTTATTCAAGGGTCAAACAAAAAATTTTTAATATTTTTTGGGTAAAAATTTAAAACAATAGTGCATTACTGTAGTGTAAAATTATTAATCGGATATTAATATTAAATAATGTAGAGCATATTTAAAATTGTCCGCATTCTGTTGTTAATTTTAATTCTCTATAAAGTTTTCTAACCCAACTACTAGGTGACATAATTTTTGCTCAATGAACATTTTTATTGACAAGTACTTGATTTATTTCACAACTGGGTGACAATTTGAATGCGTTTTTTATGTATCCATTTTTAAATTAGGTAGTGAATAGACAAAAAAATTTCACCCAGTTCTAATTACATAAAATAATTTCTATAATAAAGTATAAATACTCCAAAATGGTTAACCATTTAGGAGATTCAGACACATTTCTGGATTCTGCACAATTTTAATAAATAAATATAACTTGTTATATTTTAATCACATTTTTAATCAATTTCTAAGTTCTAATAATATACAAGATATAGTTTATTACACAATGAAAATTCCATACAATCATCATTTTTAACTTTAATTTACTTTTTAGTAACATAATTAAATCTAATAACTGTTTTCAGTAGCTCACAACAATAAATAATTTATGAAAATAAATAAATAAATTTATAAGACAAACAGATCAGGCAACAAAATTTTTTTTCATACAACATAATACAAATGAAAATATATCATTTATATATACTTCTGTAAAATTACCTGATGATTACATAAGTGTAAAATAATACGGTGAAAAATATTATTTCTATTTAATTAGCAAATATATTCAAATTAACTAACAGTCTAATAAAAATAATACACACATTAATGTATTATTTGTACAGTTGTAACATTTATGAACATAGGAAAAACATATTCAGTTAACATCTGGAAATTATGCTATGGTTTTGGGTATTGTTAAAAATCACCACAGTGAAACAGTTATACTACAAATTTGATATTTACAACATTTTACTTAATGATTTGAAGTCACAATGAATATAAAAAATGTGAGGATGACAAATAGAAAAAAAGTAAACCTAGATCTAATAATTTTTATGAATTGTCTAAATACAAAACAAGGCATTTTTAATAAATAATTATTATAATTAAATCAAATTAATTATGTAATAGTCATTTTTTAAATTAAATCATAATTACAAAATTATAGATGAAAATTTTGCCAAGTATTTAAAATTTATGTGAGTATAAAAATGTTATTTTTAAATTATAATCATAAATATTTCTAATTTTAAAATTAATGGAGTACAAAAAAAATCTTAAAATATAGTTGAGACAAACATAACATTATGCCGATCTAGAGATCCTATAATCGGTAAATACCTAATTCAACAAATAATTCACAAATTTTAGTTTCTTAATAAATAATTAATCTACAAGTCTAAATTTATTTAGGATTACCTTCAATCAGGAATTACAACCATAATAAATATGTACAATATGATCAAATAACTTCTTACATAATGCATGTAGATGTAATCTGAGGCAATTTGCTCGATATTTGAGAACTCCTGGAATGCATAGGCAAAGTTTGATGATGGTTCGATTCAGAAAGTTTAACACGTAAACTAGTAGGAGTACTTTCTTGAGAATAATGTTGATGTTCAGTAGCTGGAGGTCGAGGAAGTCTACGACGCAACCAGCTATGCCTGAGTGCCATAGCTGGAGTAATACGTCGATCCGGATCCCATTCCAAACATTGAGAAATAAAATCTATAAACAGTGGATCATCACAGCCTTTTAGCGCTTTAGATAAGTCTTTGGAGTCTGGCGGTCCTCGAGGTTTTCCTTTACGGGATATACTTCCTTTAAGAACAGTAGTACCATCAGGTAATGTTGTTTGAGTACAATACCTTGGATATCCTCTAGAACTTATGAAATAATTAGCACGTTTAGAAGCATCCAACAATTTTTTTGGAGGCATTCCAAGAAGCTCTATGATGCATGCCAACTGATCTGTTTCATCTTCACCTGGAAATAATGGAAAACCAGTCAATAGTTCAACAAGAATACATCCTAAACTCCACATGTCAATAGGTAGTCCATATTTTGCTCCTAATATCACTTCAGGTGCACGGTAAAATCTACTTTGAATGTAAGTGTATACCCTTTGGTTTTCAAAGCAGCTTGAACCAAAATCAATAACCTGAAATAAAATATAAATATAAATAATCTAAAAAAATGATTCATTTCTATGATGAGTTGGAAAAAGTAAATGTTTCATTAGATTGGAAGATAAAATAAAAATGTATAACCCCTCTCATAAAAATCCTGAGCATACCAATATATTTTCTAAGAGGCTAATACAGATATTTATCAAAATTTATTTCAAATTAATTTATAAGTGTATATCAAAGAAAAAATTAAAAACAATTTTCATCCAAGTAGAGCATATTTTGAAAATAACATACATTCAAACATTTTACAGTAAACATTTATTTAAAAATCTATATTTATTTTCTTTTAAAAAATAGTTCAACTAAGTACCAAAAAAAGGAAATTTATTGTTTTATAACAATATAAGATATTGTTAGAAAAAATTAGTAATATATACAATTTTTATTAGTGTTTCTTTGGCTAAATACCAAAGAAAAATATGAAAATATAATTTAAACACATCAAATTTCTAAATTACATTAAAATATCAACTAGATTGCTAGGATCATAATAAAATGATTTTTAACCTATTCCAGCCCAAAAGTTATTGAATAAGACAAAAAAATAATGTCTACTATTAAATATAAAAATTTCTATACTTTATTTAAGAATTATGTTATTTATATCACTTAATGTAAATAACATATTTGCATACAATAACAAAAAGTTACGTTATAAATACAATAAGTGCTTAAGACACTAATTTTTTTAACTATTTATACCTTAATTCCACTTCGTCCATGTTGTTTGAGAAGAACATTTTCAGGTTTCATATCACAGTGAATAATTTTATTACGATATAATGCATCAAGGCATACTAATAACGAATGGCTAAATTTTCGTACTAACTGGAGACTAAATCCTTGGTACTTATTCTTTTTAATTAGTTCATAAAGATTAATTGACAAAAGCTCAAATGTAATGCACATATGTTTTCTAAATGTGAAACTGTCAAACATATGTATAATATTCATTAAATTATTCACATCTTGCTTACGTAAATGTTCCAATATCCTGATTTCTTCCTGAGCTTGTCGATAAAATCGTTTCTCATTTCTAACAATTTTAAGTGCTACGTATTCATTTAATTTATGATCATAAGCTTTAACTACTTGTCCAAAACTGCCTTTACCAATTACTTTGAGCAGTTCATACCGATAACCAACATGGTCATGGGCAACAAATATGTACCCTCCTTGTTCATTGTCATAAAATGAGTGTGTACCATTTACAGGTCCAGTTTTTTTTTCAGCTTCAATGCCAAAAAAATATACTTCAGGAAAACTAAATATTTCCATTTTCTCAAATTTACTTAAACTACTACTGTATTTACTACAAATGTAATCTGGAGTAAAACCTTTTTTTTTAGGTTTACTATTAGGATTAGCTTTTTTGGTACTTTGTCCATTTACTGTTTCTTCCTGTTTGGTATGGATTATGGGCTGTAAACAAGCTGTTGCTGATTTACTAACATTATATAAAACGTCTTTATTCTCTACATATAAATCTATACTATTAGGTTTTTGAATTTTATCTACAAAAATATCAAGAGAGCCAGGTTGCTGTTTTGAACACTTCTTTATCAGCTTATTTGAGTTAGATTTTTCTAAAATCTGTGAATACTTAAGTAAAGAAGGCAAATGATCACTACTACAATCTGACTGTGATATGCATGAATCATTTGATGTACTTGACGTACCAATGTTGTTGTTACTATTATTATTACTGCTATTTGATAGCAATATATGTGGTCGATTTCGAGATAAAGGCATCTCTTTGATGGTCGTTGACACAGGATTTATGGTAGTCACCGTAATACTCATAGTTGCCCAGTAGTATTATCGTACTAACCTGAATTCTTTAAGCGCTTATTTCACACACTTGAAAGATGTACTTTAATGAATTCATGCTTAAGCTCAGCAATAATGACTTAAATATTTAATGATAACGTATTTTCTTTAGATCAATTTGTCACAGTTGAAGTTGATATTAAGACTTGACTTAGACTATAGCAAAAACACTGACACATTTAGTAAAACAATCTTAAGTAATGAGAAATAAAATAATAAGTAGTAGTAGTATAAATTACAACACTAATAATTAATATGAATTATTCACAAAAAGTAATTATAACTAAGACATTTATGAACAAATTAAAAGAAAATAAATTGTACGGAAATCATTGTTGTCACTAATCTACAATAGTGAGCTAACACGAGAAGGAAAAAAATAGTGTTAACAATAATAATTATTTCTTAGTGCAATACACTCAGTAGTGGTGAACCCGATGATGTCAGTGCTGCCGATTTACGATAACTACCGTGAATATTATGAATAAAAAACAGAAAACTTATATTAATGTCAAAACTTTTCAGAGGTCAAAAAAACAATTTCGATTGATTTAAAATTACAAAAGTTAAATACTTATGATAGTTTCATGAGGAGTAGTTTTTCCCTCTAGGGTTTTCTTTTAAAAATTCGACCCTGAATACGGTAAAAATGTAACTAGTTTCACGGTATTTATGGTATACTTCGTCCACATTATACACACACACATGTACATTTTTAACTCAAAACACACGGCGATCGGTGATATCGAACTCTAGCGGCGATAGTGTTACTAGTAATGGTGAGGAAGTGGGGGAGGTCGGTTGTCGTCGCCACCGCGCACCAACTATTTGCTTCTACCAGACAAAGACCCGTTCCCTTTCTACGGCCGTCGCCCAGTTCAGGGCGGTGACTGCGCAACTTATAACCCAGACTTATGGAAGGGATGAATGCATGTGTTGTTAACCTATTTCTTAAATATTCTTTATTTTTTTAAAGATAAATTGTAATTTTACTTTGTACATTTTTTTATCAAGTACATACCATAAGTTTCCTAATTTATATTGAAAAAATCAGCTGTTAAAAAATTTAATATTAAAACTTCGGCTAAACCAATGTAAAAAGGGGAGGTATCACGGATATCCGGTCTGTACTAAACATAACCCATGTGTCTATTCCATATTACAATAAAATAGAATTCTTGAGATAACATCAAAAATAGCTAGTAACTGGTCAGTTTTTTAAACACCGATAGACTCAGATAGTCCTGATTAAACGGGGATAACAGTACACAGAATTGCTTATAAGTTCTACGTAAAAATAATCAAGGCTTAAAAGCTCATGCATTTTTTTTAATATTATATGTAGAATTTAATTAATATTCCAAAAGTTCAATTACTATTTTGGTTTTGATCATAGGCTCATTAAGGAGATTAAATTAAGTATAGTCCCTTAAAATTTTAAATATATATATATAATGTTAAATATATAATAAAGATCTGAATGTAACGTTTTCTATAAGCATAATTAGGAGACAAAAGAATGTTATTCCTCTGGACAGAATATTGTTAAACGCTAAATGATAATTTTTTTCTTACAAAAAAAAAGTCTTTTAACACAGTAAAATTTGATAAATTGAAACTTTCAAGGGCACACAATTTACACCCGATTGGTAAAATATTAATACACCTCTGATGTTCTCTTTGGTTATTTAAACAAAAATTGTCAATGATAAAAACTCTTTAAATACTAATAGAAATTAATAACATTAGGTACGATGCATTAAACGGCAGATACGTTAGAAAATTTCGAAAACCTTAATATATTTTAGATGAATTAATAAATCAGACGCTAATCAAAAAAACTTTTTGTTATAAATTTAGTTGATTTTACAATTTTATAACTAGATTTTTAAACCTATTTAAAATATTATAATAAAGTAGGAAATATTTATTTATTTAGAAATGTTTCTTGTGCATTAATTAAATCACAGAAATGACACGTGCTTTGTTTCATATGATGTCCGTTGGTATAGCCGAAATCTATAAAAAAAAAATCTTTTAAGGATATAATACATCCTTGCAATAAATTGTTGTGTGCAAAAATACACTAGTGCGCGTCATAGATGTTAAAGAGTATATTATTATCCGTTTAGTTTATCTCATGGTGGGATAGTAATCAAAAAATGAAATCGCTGCTCGCTACAGCAACAGCTGCCCAATTACTTTATTTAATGACTGCCTGATGTACTAAAAGAGAGATGACTGTACTCTTCAACTCGCGTTAATCATATTATGACTTAACAATCTATTTATTACCATACTATTTTACAAACATTTGACATACATTTAAATTTAAACTAAAATAGGAAAATTAAGTATAGAAGCTTAATAATAACTATTTATCTAAGTAGATTCGGCGGGACTCTCTAAAGGCATGTCTTATACTCTCTATTTTACACCATTTAATTTTACAGAATAAAAAAATCATCAATCGTTCAGTTAAAAACGTTATTCCTTAAAATTGTTAATAATTTCAACATGTTACTTTAATAAAATTTAGCTATCAGTATCATCATCCAGTCACTTATTTTAGTTTGAGTTCCAAAAACTCTGTTTAAAATTTCAGTCCTGATATTATTTTAATGAAACTAATAATTAATATTTATCGATAAAATTGTGTATAACATTATAAACATACATTTTTTCCTGGTGATATTTTAACTATAATAGTTGAAACCAAAACATGTTATTATGTTTAAAGTGAAATACACAATATACTAATAGACCAATGACATTACATACTCAAAATATTAAAAGGCAAGGTTTCAAAAAAACAGTAGTATTTATACGTCTTTAGAGGACCTTAATCTCAAAGCTCCTAAACTCCGTGTTAGGTAATTTTAATAATAATAATAATAATAAGGCAGTTTAAAATATTATATTTTATCGACTTTTCCCGACTATTATACATTTGAGTTAATATTTTGTTGATCACACCACATTATTTTACTTTTAGGCAACACAATGACTGTATTCAATACATTATACTATACATTTCAATTTAAAAATACAACCAATGAATACATTACCTTAACAATGTATAAAATTATTAACTCTAACTACTGCAGTCTGAATAGTGATTTGGGATAAAGTGGACTCGAGACCTCAATTTAAAGAGTTTTAATTTGAGGCATTGTTCTAAAAATGTATAATAGAAAAAACTCGTGTGAGAGAAAGACTATTATATATTAAGAAAAGGTGTCACATAGTGTTCATAAAAGAAAGATAAGTAAATTATAGACATTTTTAATTTACGTATCAATTTTTTAGGAAATTTTATGCTGAAAACAATATTATGTCCATGTAACTATTGATATCAAGTATTTAAAAAATAAAGTGTACGTTCTTATGAATGACGAATAATATTTTCCCTATATGGAACTGTTAACCACTTGTCCCATACATAAACTTTGTCCATATATATATATATAAATTCCTTTGGAATTAGTAGTAGTCTTTGTTGAAGCCCTTATTTCATAAATTAATTTTAAAAATTAGAATCTCTTGAAAACGCCTAAACTTGTAATGGAAAATAATATATAGCTGCAGAATCCTTAAATATCAAGTGTTATGAAACAAAATAGAATTGTTTATCAGCATATTATAATTTATTATTATTTTATCAAAGGAAGTTTATTATAATACGAGCTTCCTTTTGATATATAATTATGTCAATTGGCACAAAGGACACATAATTTAATTATAACTGCAACAAGAAATTTGGTAATTTGAATAGAAACTGAAAATATAACAAGCCATAAAATCATTGTCAAGAATTGAATGCTAATGTATTTACTACCATATTTAATCTATTTATATAGTAAAATACACAACCAAAATTGAATATTTTATAAATAATAATATATAATAAGTATTTTTAGATTTTTTTCTATTTATATTATTGACTGGTTTTATCATAATTTTGCAAATAACCACAAACTATACTTTCGTATAGTCTGTGAAATAACTATTATATAATGCGACTACTTTAAATGAAAATTGGAAAACTGAAGTTGAACAATCTCCTCTTAATGAGAGTATTCCAATAATTTACGCATGGATAGGTCATAGTCAGTGAATGTTAAATGGTTTCAATTCCAATAATTGAAGGACTTTAACAGATTATATTAAATTCAGAAAAATGTATCAATACTCAATGCGATTTTTAAGATAAAAATATTACCGAAATTATGGAAGGATGGTTATCTTGTTTAAAAGAGTAGCTACGCTCGTCTAAAAAATACTTGACAATTACGTGTTTATTACATTACAATATTGAAAATTGTCTCGCATAATTTTTATGATCGAGATAAATCGAGTATAATAACACAAATGGTAAGTAATTATTGTAATTAATAATTATTTTTATTCGTTCCTTGCGTCTGTTTATTGCCTACCATTTAAACCGTACCGAGTACATGAACGCCATCGCTTGTGTGTTATTACATTAGATGTAATCATTTTTACATGCGAGTGTACTTACTAGCGATCGAGGTAAAAAAAAAAAAGGTAAACGCGATGTGTCCAAGCGGAACAAGTTTGCAGCCAGTTTCCGCAGACGTACCACGGCCTAACGCACGCGTGGGTCGATAAACCCGATTTTTAGGGCTCCTCTCTAGTAGTGATAATCACAATAATAGATTTAGTGTACGCACCGCCGTCCGTGATCTCCTAAGTCAAGGTGAATAAGTACACGTGATGTTACTGTACACCAGACCAAAATCAAGTGACACAAACGTTTGAATTGTGTTGCATAATCGAGTTTTAATTAAATCACCTAATAAATATTTGATACTCGACCAATATAGTCGTATCGGGTGTTTTATTTTTAATTCACGTTTGATTGTTGAAATGAAGACAAGTAAATGTTAATGAGTAAGAAACATGGAAATAAACAAATATTGGTAACATTAGAGAAAATTAATAAAATATCTATCAAGTAATAATATATAAAAATGTGTTTTTAAGACTTGAACAAGGTTTTTATACGAATCGAAAAATAACACCCATAGAAATCCGGTCCAACATTACAAATAGCGTAATTAGTTGCATTCAATTCTGAGAATAAGAATTAAGTGGGATATCATTTTTATTTCCAAGCTCTTTATGGTATGTATAATATGTGTGCACACACACACACACACATACAGAGTTAACGTTGTATATATTTAAACATTATGCTGTTGTCTACGTTGTAGTGATGTTGAAACACTGCTGATCGCCGAGATAATAACCGTAGGTACCTGTTACGATAAAAGATGCACGTAACCATAAGTTTTAAAAACAATTGAAGGAAGCAATCTTCAAGTTGATATTGTGTTTTTACAGAGTTGTGTTTACAGAAGTTATCTGCATGGAATACAATTATATTTAATACATCAGAACGTAACACAACTATCTCATTTTAATTCGTATTGATGATTTAAATACATGACAACAATTTTTGTCAGTGAATCATAGCGTTCATTTACTAGCACATTTTCGGTGTAGATTTGTGCCATCTTGAGCTGTACACTTATATATATATATATATATATATATAGAGAGAGAGAGAGAGGATGTCGTGGCCTGTGTGATATGTGTATAACGTGCGGTATGCCGGCGGTTCTGGCGTGTGGTAAGGAGGAGAGCGAATAGGGGAATGTGGGACAACTCGACCAGACTGTTGTAATATAATGGAGGTACGGTGACGGGTGTTCATCAATGCGTTTTATAGGTACAACGACGTTTAAGAACCGACAGACTACTGTTATGTTAGGAACAATGCAGTACCCTTAGTTTTTGTCCAGGTTTTTGAGAATGACTTATATTATTTATTATTAACACTTTTTTCGTTATTATAATTAACAATATCATTCCATTGTGTAGTGTATTGTGAGCATAGCACTACACTTATGAAACTGTAGATGATATGTTAGGCATTCTTTTACTTATGTATATTTATTTTGTTGAAATCCGTTAGATCTCCTGAATTTTTTTAATTTTGAGTTCGTAATACTTTTAACTGTTTACATATTAAAATAGTTGAAAATAATAAAAACGTTTTAGAGGTGTTAAATATAGTTATATCACTTAAACAATATTTTTATATAAACATAAATGTAATTATTAAAAAAAATGTTTGGTTCTAAGTAGCTACATCACTCCTCTTTTTGTGCCAATACATATAATAAAAATTTAGTTTCAGTGCACCACATTAAATTAACTAGGTACTGACCCAATATCAGGAAATATATTAACTAAATTTTATTTAAAGTTTTGAAGTTTAAAAATATAATCTATTAAAAGTTGTAGCATACGGATAAATCCTTCAATGTAGGCTAATAACATTGGCTTGTGAACGCCATTTGGGAAACATAAATATTTACTATATTTGACATTTTATTTTTAGTTATGGTGTTAAGTTGTAAGATAAACGAATTTATATATAAAAAATTGGGTAATATGATCTATATTATTTCGTGAGATAGTATAATATAACAAACCAAAAAGAATATTAAAAGATATAGTAGTAAAACTCTGTTTGGTTGGTTTTTAACATATTTAAAATGATAAATGCTATTTTATAATAAATTATAGTTTTTGTAAATTGTTGTTAGATACTAACGCAGTTTGTTCGCCAAAAGTATTAAAAATATAATTTATTTTAAAAATATCGTAAATCATAATCACCAGACGTTAAGAACGACCATTCTGTTTAATTATTAATCGTCGCTTTAATACATAACAAGAATCGAATTATAAAACAACTATAAACTGTAACTAGTTGCCAAGTACAAAGCGTCAATTGTTTTCTTTTCTATTTTAAGTCAAGACATAGTATGTAGTATTTTACATAAATATACAGACAAAAAAAAACTTAATAACTGGAACTAAAATTTTCAAATATAATTTAAAACAATGCCAATCTCGTTTGTTTGATATAAAAACATAATTACTAGAACAATAATAACAATCTTAAATTGACAGATGTTTCTGATGATAATTGAATTAAAATACCATTACATCCATGTTATCTAGAAATGAAATATTGTGACAATACATTTTTTCATCCACGTTATTATTTACAATTGAGTCACGAAACCATGTAGTTAAATTGTAAAGTATTTTAACACTCAGGAATAAGTATTTATTTATAATTTATGTTGAATACATTTTAATAGACGCAATAAAAGCATAATTAGAATAAAATGAGAGTGCTAAATTAACTTTTTTCCACTCTAACCTTAAAACTTAACCTTTTAGCTTCGATGCGAAGCTGAGAATGTATTAATTTTACTATGATGTTTTTTTATTATTATTATGATGTTTTATTATTATTATTATTATTTTTTGTGACTGTTCCCACTTTTTCTCAGCTCTCACCGAACCAATTTCTCTCAACGATATGTCACAAGATCACAAATCGTATCTAGTCGAAGTCATTACCCTTAAAAATTGAAAAAATTTCCCTCGTTACCTGTAAATGGGGCAAATCTCCAAAAAATTAAAAAATTTTCAACATTTTTTGATAATTTTCGATATTTTTTCAATTTTTTTTACTTAAAATTGCTATAACTTTTTTAAAAATTAACATATCATGACATTTTTTTTTATATAGATGCATGATATCATTACCTTTTATTTGGTATATTTTATTTTATATCTGACTTTTTACCTGCCCACAGGGGGGATTTAAAATGACAACTTTTTCACAAAAAATTAATTTTTTCAACTTGATTTTTGAAAATGTTCCGGAAGGTCTGACACTTTTATATATATATTAAGTTAAAGCTAATGTAATTTACTTAATTATGCGAAAAAAAAATTTCGGACTTTATTTTATCTTCACGGTGAAAATGGCTACCGAATGCTATTTTTGTATGAAAATTCCCGATTTTATTTTTTACATTTTTAACTTTATTATGCTATAACTTATTGAAAAGTGTATGGATCAACATAATTTTTCTATGAGAAATACTATTTTTTAATAATCCCTTATTCATTCGACATACTTTATCTTAATCAGGATATTAATAAGGAACTAGCAGATTATGTAGCTTTTGGAATAATCCACCAATTTTTTTAAATTAAACACTATCTAAAGATTTGCATCGAAGCGTTTTTTTTTTATAGTGATTTTAATCACTGTCAGATATTGTTTTACTTGACTCAACTATTTCACGTCACCAATGTGCCGTGACCCCTCTGTGCTGGGTTTTTTTTATTTAATAATATTATTTTGAATAATTAAAATAATTTACCTTGATATTTGTAAAAAGGAGAATCCCCAAAAAATTACAATTTTTAAAATCGGTAATTTGGACATTTTTTTTTTTAGAACTGTTTTAATTTTATGAGAAATAAACAAATCAAAACAAATTTTATTTATATAAACATATTAGATATTTTTCTCACATTTTATGTAATTTTTTTGAAAATCTGTCCTTATATTTCCCAAAGGATGGATCAAAATAGCAATTTACGGACAAAAATTTAATTTTTTCAACTTAATTTTTGAAATTATTCCGGAAATACTGCATCCTTTAAATATATGTTAAATTAAAGTTTATGTTACGCGTTATAATTAAACAAAAAAAAAACAATTGTTCCGACAAACTATATTCTATGTACAAACTGTCAAAGTTGAACGAATAATGTAATTTTCGTTCAATCGTTATATTATTGTAGTACTTAAAGCAGCTATTACTTTTTAAAAAATTAACTTACCAAAATATTTTTTTTTTTTATATGAACACTTAATGTAATTTTCATTTATTAGATATAAATTTATTAAAATTCTGACCTTTTACCTGCCTACGTTGCCGCCTCGATAACACTATAGTCTTTCAAGCTCATGGTTTGAGGTTCGAACACCTTTTTGTCAAAATGACGTTTTTGCAATTTTTGTTAAATTATATTTAAGTTGGAAAAATATTCAAAATTTGTTTCATTTTTAACTCATTTAGATTGTATACATTTAATGAATATCAAGGACTCCATCATAGTGATAGTATATTATAGACTATAGTAGTGTCCCTCGTGAGAAGAAATTTCTTATTCATATTAAAATTATTTTACTATGTAGTTTTTTTTTGGTCATTAATTTTTCTAGGTTAAAAATCGTTCATTTCTAATATTTTCAAAGTAATATTATTTATTGTCGAATAAAGTTTGATATGATAATAGGTTTCAACTACAAAATTATTTAATTTTACTCTGTTGTCATTAATTTTTTGACTCTAATTGTGTAGTCTATTTCCGTTTATAGTATTCCAATTTTTTTGATAATATTATACCACATTAATAATTAAAATAAGAATATTTTGAGTTTCACTTGAATTTAAAAATGGATTTTTATAATTATAATCAATTTTTATTACACTTATTATTAAGTTAATTTTTAATTTTTAACCTGAAGATAAGAAGACATTGGTCTTTTATAACCTAATAAATTATAATAATAACATTTTTTCAATCAGTATAGTTCAAAATATATTTTGCTCAACCACGTATTAGCACTGATATAAAATCTGCAATTAGTTTTTTTTCATCGCCTCTTTTTTGGAGATTATAACTTATTTATAAAAACTAGTATTTACATAGAATAATTGAATTTGATTTTTAATATGTTCAAAATAATCCGTACAAAATTTCGATTCAAAATGTCATGTTTAAACTATTTTTTTGATTCTTTAAAGTTGATTTTTATGAAAGTTTATAATTTAAAAATATTGAACTTTTAACCTTTTTTTTAGTTTAACTTGCAAGCTTGCAAGAAAATTCAATGTAGTTTGAAAAATGGATTTGTTTAGATTGACGTAATATTTTCAAATGTGAAGTTGAAAATGTTAACTGTTAATAATTGCTTAAGGTATTTATTCAATAGATTCATCTACTTTTATAAAATTTATAAGAATTAAGTGATAAAAGGTTAAAAAATGTCACAATTTACTGATTTAAATAGTAATTAATAGTGATATTTATGAATATTAACACCACTTACAGAGAATGTCCAAGATTAATCATTGGGAAAATGTCCGAAGACAACTTATTAAATATCAAAGATCACTTTTTAAAAGTGGATCCATTGGAGCTAGATATATTATTTATGTGATTAAACTTAATAATATTATGTGAAAATTCCTTAAAAATATGTTTTCATTACTTCTTATAATGTAAATAATAAAATAATGTAATTTTTTTTGTAATATAAATAAATTTAAAATGTATGCAGCTGAATTATTTCACCATAATTTTAGTAATAATATATATAATTTTAATAGCTTTAATTGCGAATTACAAATATTTCAACTTTACATTACCGAGAAACACTATATTAAAGTATTGTCTACAGTCTATAGATGTATAACGGTAAATGTATTATTAACAATATTTTTGACATTATTATAAGTACCTATCCAAAAATTAATCCAATACAATAACTAAGCTATGCATTTTGTATACAATACAAATAGAAAACAATAAACAAACAAATGCAAAAAAAGATTTACTTACTTGAATAAATTACATTAATTAATTTTAAATTAATTTAGTTTTTGAAGGTTATCAGAAACTAAAGGGTTTTTACCTCTAAAATTAAATGTTAAGATAATTATGTACGACAGCGCTATAAATTTATGCAAATCCTAAAAATCTTCCACTTTAGTAATTATCTTGGAAAGTTTAGCAATAAAAAACATAATTATTACACTTAAGAACACACTGCTTAATGTTTTTATTTTATTGCGATAGCAATTTTCGACTCTTATGATTTTTCATACCTTCTGTTCAATAACAAAAACTTTTTTCCTTACATTCTTCTTGAAAAATGAAGTACCAAGAAACATTTTGATTTAATTAATTTTAATAAACACAGGAACGGACTAAGAACTAGATAAGCCACGAAACCTTCAAATTGGTACCTATCTACGCTCCTTGAGCTACAGGTCTTATCACTATATTAATATTTTTGAATATAAAAATTACAAGCTTTTTGACCCTTTTTTTTTTTACTCTAATCTAAGTAAAATTTTTTACTTGAATGTTTTCCTGGTATCTTATCAATTAAAATTTATTTTTGTCGCTTTCTCATATATCACTTCTATTGTTTGTATGTAGTAAGCTTTAGTTTATTAAAAATAATTTTATTATTTACGATTTAATGAGAAAATGTATGATGTTAAAATTACAAACAATTTTGATTATGCGTTTTATAATTTGTACAGTTAATACTAACAATGCAAATTATCTTTCTATTTGCAAATTACGATTCAGTGATTTTACATATACTATTATAAAGTCATAAAGTAGTAACTAGTAGAAATATTTAAATACGTACCTGTTAGAGCGATTAAATTAGTAATTTATCTATTCAATACTAGAGTTTTGGTTTTATTGTACAACAACTCAATGTTCATTGTGTATTATCTGCATAATGTTTAAATGCTATTTAATAGTATGAAATTACCTGTATCATCAATTTATACTAGTATAATTTATTAATTATGCGACGCATGCACCTTCATTATATCAAATTATATCATTATACACAAATATAGTGTGAAATGAATAGAAGTATTAAATGTCAAATTTGCATATACCTATAGCAAGAATAGTTCAGACAAGAATAATAATTCTTTTGTATTTTTTAAATGTAAACACTTATTTGAATATATATGCCTATTAATAACGCCCATATAAAAGAGAATCCAAATAAATAATTGAAACAAAATTACACCGCCAGTTAATAAAACGCTTCAAATATAAGCGCAATTTGAGGATATAAAATGAGCTCAGAACCCCCAAAATCTGCCATAGATTCTCCAAAATTTATGGAAATTGCATGTATTTTTATGAAAAAATATTTTTGAAATGAAAAAAATTAGACCCCGTAAATATTTTGTTAAAACTGCGTCTATGATTTCAAACTGAAGTTTAATTATTTTAGTAATAGTACGTATAACTATAATTTTAGGAAATAGCATTTTTTTAATAATATTTGAAATTGTTTTTAGTAAAGCAATTTTAGTGTCATAGTGAAAGAAAAATTTATTTATTCACTTGCAAAAATACAGATAAAAATTAATTACATTTTTTTTTTTTTAAATTCATCATGTAAGTTAATTGTAATAAACGATAAAAATAAAAAAACAATCAATTTTTTATTTCTTGAAAACTTCAATGCGAACCATACCCATAATACTAAATGACATATTTATAATGTTATATTAAGTTTCAAATCGTCCATATAAACCATAATAACAACAGCTTGATAAATGATATATTATTGTTAATTTATACTGTTGTACAAAAATCAAACCAACGTAAATGTATACAACTCTATTTTAAATTGCATCATCTTCCAAATCATTATATTGTACTGAATTTTATGAATAGTATGTGTTACTAAATGATTTTCTCTATATGAATGTTAATTCAAGAAATAAGAAGATTTTTCTAAAGTTAAGAAGTATAATTGTCAATGGACATTTATTTTGTCACCTCTGCTTATAATAAATCTTTATTAGTATAAATAAGAAGTATAAAGGGTTCTTTACATCATCCTTCCTTTAAAATGTTAATATATTTTTCTAATTAAAACAAGTGTTATTTTTAACTGAATAAATTATTTTTTCCTTACTTCTGAAGTATATTTCAGCAAAACCACTGTAATTTTATTATCAGTGTTGAAAAAGACGAGCAAATAACACTTTTTTCTAAATTTGAAATAAATAATTATGAGTTTACTTAAAAATGTTTTTACTCCCTTTCGGGGTTGCTGGGGTCGAAGCTACTGTCGAAAAAATCAAAAGAACGACTTTACATGGTACTAGCTAGACCAGTGATAATGTATGCATGTGAGACATGGCCCACGACCCAAGGAGATGAGAATAGACTAGCTATCATGGAGAGGAAATTCCTTAGGAGATTTTATGGACCAAAAAGAAACGAAGACCAAACATATGAAATTAGGACTAACAGAGAACTGCAGGAATTATTCGGAAAACCAGACATAATAGCGGAAATACGCCACAAGAGACTGAGATGGCTTGGACATGTACTAAGGGCTAAGTCAATAGCAAATGCGGTATTAAGATGGATTCCTCAAGGAAGGAGGCCAATTGGAAGACCGAAACAGAGATGGATGGACAAAAATAAAAAAGAACTAAATAAACTTGGGATAGACAATATTACTGAAGCGACTATGAACAGAGACAGATGGAAGGAGATTTGTTTTGCAGCAATGGGCCTTAATGGCCTTTAAAGCTGGAAGAAGAAAAAGAAGAAGAAGAGTTTACTTAAAAGTTTTTATACAATTCTACAAACTATTTTTAAAAATAAACACGTTAGATAACTAAAAAAAAATATTTATTATGTGAAAGTTGATTTATTATAAAATTTAGTTTCTAAATAAAATAAAAATATTATTATATGAAATCAGTTTTCTATTCTATTAGGACTTACATAAGTTTAAAATGTTCCTTATGATAACTTTGATTACTTTGAAGATTTGATAAGACTTCAAATTACATTCATATCTATAGTTATCAAATTTTATCCGTAGTCTTATATCTTGATTTTTGTTGAAATTTTATTATAATGAACAAAAATTTGTTACTAAAAAATTTTCTGTAACTATCACGATATCCAGGTTTATTTTGAATCCATTATAGCGATTCTGAAAACGACAAAATTCAATTTAAAGATATTTAGACAATTTAATAAGTAAATATTTTAAAGCTTTATTTACACAGTCTGTAATTTCTTTATATAGTAATTAATATAAAATAAAAATATTTTTACATGTCAGTAGAACATTTATATTACCAAAGAAGTCTCATTGAACTATTTAAAACAAATTAATACAAAAAATAGTCATTGGTAGTTTGTTATAGGTTATTGCACATAAATAATATTAGTATAACGAAGCCATAAGAATAAAATATATATTAGTATAAATATATTATCAAAAATAAAAGTATGGGAATATAAAAAACTAGTTTTTACAACGATGTCTTTATGAATTACAATAGTGCGGCGTTGTAAACTCTAACCAAAAATGATTTTGATTTAATCAAGTCAGTGTCTTTGGGATAGGCTAAGATTTCTCTTTAATTTATGCGAGTGAATAATTTATCTAGTATCAAAAACATGCATGTCTTTTGATTGACGAGATAATATATTTTATGACTTGGCTTTGTTTTAAACTGGACTAACTTATGAAGGACAAAAACAATATAAATGAATTGTAAAATTATCATTTTGTCATTTTTACGCAAAATGAATCTAATGAGATTAAATGGAAATAAAAATTTAGGATGAAATAAATGATATTATTTGAGGGGGAACAATTGCATGTGTCCCCTTCAAAATAAGCAAGCTATTAAATTAATTAGTGATTAACAAAAACAAAATTAATGTGTAGATACAATAAATTATACTCATATAATTGAAATGACGAGCATAGTGAGTAAATTTTTTTTTGATATTATTCAAAATTATGCTATCCCTTCTCATAAAAACTAATGTGACAAAACTGGATAAAATAACTGTTACAATCATAAATAAGATTTAAATGTTTGCTTATGAGTTTTGCTGATATTACCATAGGAGATCATGGAGGAGGTGTAAATAATACCAGTTGCCCTCTTAACTATAAGCTGGGTCAATTTATATTATCGTTGTGTATAGTAAAATTTTTTTTTTAAGTCGGTTCATTAATACATGTTTATTTTAAACACGAGTAGTATAATTTTGACATAAAATATCGAAAAATTGTACACAGATACAACATTTTTATTACTATTTATCAAAATTTCCTTTTGTTTGTGATTGAAACTTCCAATATGTCCATGTGAAAATTAGGTTTTATTTTTAGTAAAATAATTTTAAAATCGAATCTTACCTGTCATAAAAAAATCAAATTATATTATGCTACAAATTAAAAAATATAGTAGAAGTATGATTAAATTGTATGTCATATTAATGATTATATATATATAATTGCCATGTGGCATAAAGGCCCAAATTTGATCTTATGAACATATCTGATATATCATTTAAATAAGTTATCACATCAATACTTTTTTATTTATAAATAATGTAATGTTTGTATTATTTTTATTGCTCAGATTTTTCGATTATTAATGATTAATCTATAAATTATAAAATAACATAAATAATGAGTGTATGCTCTAATTTTGATTATGCTCATGATACATTTGCGATTGTAGATTTAATTATTGTCCCACAAATTTTTTGGTATTGATAATTTAATAAAACTTTTGATAAACAAGAATCATTGAAAATTATTGTTTACATCTTATTGCTTTGTTAATTAATGGAGCATATGATAGCTTCAGAAGATTAGTAATCTGTGTTAAGCCTTCATTAAAAATACAATTTTGTGAAATATACCAAGAAGGATTTAGTAAATAATATAGATGAAGTATTTCTGCTGCTATGAATGTGCAGTCAAAATCAAAATATCCAGCTATGTATTTTAATTTTAACTAGTAATGTACAATTAAATGTGTACCTGAAATATGTAAATCTTAGAAAGGCTTTACCTATCAAAGTATCGAAGGTACCATTTACTTGAGTAATATTAATTAATGAGCGATTTTAAATTTTTAGGAACTCCTATTATAGATGAAATCATATTTTGACTTGTAAAAATGAGTTGGTAACCCACAACGAATGCCAATGTGATAATAAGAGCACAAATGAAGGAGTCTAATAGGTGCTTACTTCTACACTTCTGTGCCACAAATTAATTCCTCCAGTTTGTTGTTAATTTTTTATACTTTTAAAGTAATGAAAAAATTGTAGTAATTTTAATTTTTTGTAATCGGTTTGAAATTACAAAAACGTTAGAACCCAAATACAAAAATTACTGTGTGCTGAAGAAGAATTTTAGTTACTAATAAATAGAGAGAATAACAATTTTGAGGCTTATTGATGATCAACAATTATTTTAAGGTAACCTAAATTAATTTAGTTTAATTGTCAACATTTATATATACTCGAAAGAGGATCTAGCGAGAAGAAACTAACACTTCTTGAGATGTATTGATTATACTAAAAAAATTGTTAATAAAGTCTTCAATTCAATTAGATTGACGCCCAAAAAAACGTTTTAAAGTATATTCATAAAAAACTCGACATATCTCTGATAATAATATTTTACATAAAATATAACGTACCTAGTCTAAAGCTCAAGATTTAAGCCAGTGGTTGGTAAATGTACAATGTCGCATTAAGTTTCACGAGCCACTAGAGGATTAAGAATTGTTTAAATAAATAACTGATTCATCTTTATCCGTCAAAACATTACTACATGGAAGTTTTTCTTTTTTTTGTTTATCTACTAATTTATAAAAAAAACCATAAAAGCCAAGAACTGCGAACACTAATAATGTAAGTATAACTAAAGATAATGTTGCATAAAGCGGAACATTATCGGAATTTGGAAAAGACATAACATTACACTAAGACAATCGTTAGAAATTTAGAAGTAACAATTATGAAATTATATAAATAGTAAAATAAATAAACATAAATATAAACCAACATATATTAATTTAATTTAAGTATAATTTATTTTAAAAAATCGACGAAGCATATAGTCACAACTAAATCAAATGTCTCTAAAAGCTCATAAAATATACTTAATTAATCCGTAAATTTAAACAATGTGAAGTGTAATATTTTTTTTTATTTTATACAATAACTGACTTAAGTATATTGACAATAAGTAAAAAATATAATTAGCCTAGGTATATAATATTATGTTATAAATGTATAACATATTAATTTCTATAGACCTAATGATAACAGTTTTTAATTTTATAAAAATAGTTCGCTTAAATCAATTCCATATCTTTTAACTCTCATTTTTGGAATTCTAATTATTATTTTTATTTTGTTATCAAAAAAGTTATTTAAAAATTAAGTTGAAAAAAGACTACTACAAAGCAGTTATAGGTGCAACTAAGGGCTAGAAATATGTTAAAACTGAAGAAGTATTAGTCCTAAAATTAAATTATATTAATTAATTAAGTTAATTAAATGAATAATTAAGTTTTACAATTCTTATAGTAATTTTAGTGACATTTCAAAATTAATTTAATATACTTGAGTTTTAAACAGGGCTTTGTTACTATCACTAGTTTAAGATATAGTGACTAGACATTTGTTCTCGACGAATTCAATTTATAATCAGAAAAGGAATCTATTCAAATAGATAGAGAATAATTCTCTGAAGCGAATCATTAAGTTAAAAATAATGTTTCTGGTGATAAGGTCCAATTAAGTTTATAATGTGAAGTATAAAATGAACTAGAAAATTACTTCATTAATTAAAATTTATAATTTTGTCCAAATTCGATACTACCTACAATACAATTAGAAAAAATGAATGATTCATAATTAAAAGTTGTATGATTCTTGAATCTTATTTATTTGGTGTAAGTTAAATTTTTTTGTAGATGCGACAATTTAAGTGAGTTATCAAGTACTTCATATTATTTGTATGAATATTAACCCAGCATAATAATGATAGGTGTGATAACTATTTGTAATAATTTTCTCAATTAACTCTATAACCTTATCACAATTATCTTATCACAATTTCAATGTCAGGTTATGTAGAATATCTGCACTGCGTCTCCCATTCTTCTAGATTCTGTAAACAAAATTTGTCATATTAGTACTAACGCGCATTTTATAATCATTAAATGTTTCATTTTATCACTTGTTAAATTTACTTTATTATTGTTTTTAACCGATTATGCGTCAAATTTTATTAATTTTCTGTTGTATTCTATGATGAAATTTCGGATGGTCCGGTGAAAGTAGTGCAAAAATATTTCGTAATCATGCAACTGTATAATATTAATAACTCAACTTTTGTTGTACTATCCAAGTGTAATTCAAGTAATTAAAGCGGTAATGTTACTTATACTACTATTGCACTTTATACTATTCTGTTACTAACGTTGTAAAATGGATAATGGATTGGATCATATTTGCACAAATTGGAAAAAAACATTGCCACTGACAAGATCTTTAGATAAGTTGTTTGAAGAAGCTAATTTGTGTGGTGAATTAAAACTTGGTAGCCGTAAACTAAAGTTTTTTCCCACATCATCAAATTATGATGTATCGGATATTATTGTTGCTGGTATTTTAATTCAGCATATTTATCATTATTTATTATTAACAAACTATTTTTAATTTTCTAGATCTTTCAAGGAATAATTTTACAATTCTACCCACTGAAATTTTTAAATTCTGGTCTCTAGAATTTCTAAGTTTACATGACAATATAATTCGATCAATACCAAATACTATATCAACTCTTCAATCATTAGTCTATCTTGATCTCAGGTAGTTTACTTAATACTATCAATTAATTTAATTTATATTAAAAAAAAAATTATAATTAATTTATCAGATATTGATAATTAATGTTTCTTGTTATTGTATTATTTTCAATACTGTGATAAATTACTGGTGTAATTGAAAAATATCAATGTCCAAATAATATTCTTGAGGCTCTTACTATGTATGATAATTTTATTCTTAATAATAAAACTTATCAACATATTTATTTGTATAGTATTACATGTATGTTGCATACAATGTAAAAATTTTATAAGTATATTTTAGTGTAGCTGAATATAATAAATAATTATAGCAATACATTTTTTACAGCCGGAATTTTTTGATTTCATTACCACCTACATTATTCCAGTTACCACTTGAAACATTGCTACTATCTAAAAACAAGTTAAAACAAATACCAGCTGAAATAGGATTTTGTAAATCACTATTAGAACTTGATATAAGCTTCAATAAGCTTACTCATTTACCTCCACAATTAGGACAATTACCTATTTTGAAATCTTTGAATGCACAAAACAATCTGCTTATTGAGTTACCACTAGGTAAGTTAAAAAAATTAATCTTGAATACTTAATAAGTTTAAAAAATAGGCACCTTAAAAATTAGTATCTTAGGTGATCAACTTTCCTATAATTCATACCTGATAATATGTAAAAGTAATGTATTGGCCAATTCTATCAATAATTATTACATTTATACTTTTTTACTTGATTTTAATGATTTATAGTATAATATATTATATAAAAATAAACATATTTATACATTTACTAATATAAATTAAGCAATCTAATTGCATGTCCTCTAATGTCTCTTTTGGATACGCCTCATTCAGTAATTTTTCAAAGTACCTTTTTTTCACATCATCATCATTCGAGAGTACCCTATTATCAACACTTTATACACCTTATATAATGATAATTTTTAGTCCTTTTCTCTCTTTTGCAAGTCTATAGATTTCTTTCTCGCCTTCCTTTGTTCCCAGCCTATTATACAACTCATCATACCTCTTTAACTTTGCCTTACTTACTGCACACTTGACTTCTTTGCACAAGCGTTTATACTCCATCTAATCTTCTCTCCTTTTGCTCTTCTGCCATACTTTTAATTGCTTTTTTTTACTTTCTATGATTATTTAATGTCTTCATCCCGGCACCAGGTTTCCTTATTTCCTGGCATTCTACTCCTACTCTTACCAACAATTTCCTTTACACAACTAGCATATAGAACTTATAAATAAAATCTTATTAAAAGGGAAAATTCCAAAGTAATGGAGGAATAATATTATGGTCCCGATATTTAAAGGAAAAGGTGACATATAGGAGTGTGGAAATTATAGAGGCATAAAGCTTATGAATCATAGTATGAAAATTTGGGAAAAAGTTATAGATAAGGGAATAAGAAATGAGACATCGGTATCTAAAAACCAGTTTGGATTTATGCCTGGTAAGTCAACAATGGAGCCATTATTTTGTGTGAGGTATCTAATAGAAAAGTTTTGGGAAAAGAAGAAAAAGCTGTGTATGGTATTTATAGATTTGGAGAAAGCGTATGATAGAGTGCCGAGAGAGGTTCTAAAGTGGGTATTACTGAGAAAAGGAGTTCCGAAAAGGTACATTAATTTAATAGAGGATATGTATGATGGTACTTGTACTAGGGAAAAAAGTGTGGGAGGAGTAACAGAAGCTTTTCGGGTAAGAGTAGGAGTGCACCAAAGTTTCTGCTTTAAGCCCTTACTTATTTTCTATAGTAATGGATGAAATTACTAGAGAAATACAAGGAGAGGTGCTGTGGTGTATGTTGTTTGCTGATGATATAGTGTTAATAGGAGAAAATAAGGAGGAAATTAATCAAAGGCTAGAGGTGTGGAGATCAGCTCTTGAAGAAAAGGTTTAAGAATAAGTAGGAGTAAGACAGAGTATATAGAGTACGAGTTTGATAAAGCAGGACATGAGGTAGGTGAAATGAGGAGATCAGTAAAATTAGGCGAGGACGTGATTGGAGAGGTCGAAAGTTTTTAGTATTATTTAGGATCAGTTGTGTAAAAGAGTGATGGTATTGACGAGGATGTAAGACAAAGTTTTAAGTGCGGGTGATTGAAGTGAAGAGAAGCGTCAGGTGTGTTATGCGATAAAAGTATTCCAATGAGACTGAAAGGTAAATTCTACAAGACTGTAGTGAGACCAGCTATGATGTATGGTTCAGTGTTGGGCGGTTGATAAGAAAGTAGAGCAGAAAATGAATGTAGCAGAGATGAGAATGCTTAGATGGATGAGTGGAGTGACTAGAGAAGATAGGATAAGGAATGAACATATAAGAGAGAGTATAGGTGTAACGTCAATCGTGGATAAGATGAGAGAAAATAAACTTAGATGAGGAAGAAGAAGAAGTAGAAGAACCTAATTGCATAAGAAGTCAAGTCGAAAATGCATAGTGTTTCTTTGAGTAAGATAACAGGTTTTGATTCCATTATGCTAGACTATTTCATATATTATATTTTTATTTAGCTGAAGTTCTAGTTGTTACAGAGATAGAAACAGACTGTCGCCTATTAATTCAAACCTGTAGATCCATTGTGTGCACTTTATATCAAATTATAATTGGTTTCATCACCAAAGTATTGTTACCATTGATTAACATATCTAGCAAGAATTCTTTGAACTAATATCATTTTTTTCAGTAGTAATTCAAACTTTGTCCTTGAAACTCCACTATTAATATTATTAATTGGTCTCAAATTTTGCAAAAATCAGTTTAAGACCAGATAAAATAAAAATAAGTCTGGTCTGTGGAAAAATTCTAAAATTTGTAACATTTCTGATACTGTAATGTATAATGTGACATCTATAAAAACTTTTGATCCAGTTAATATTTTGTGTTACTCTTTTAACTTCGATATGAAGTTAAGAAAGAATTAATTTTACAATGATGTAGTTATTTTTTTTTTTTATGATTTTTACAGTATTTAACTATGTTAAAAGCATTTTTTTTTTATTATTTGCCTCTAATAAAAATAATATTTTATTTAATTTTACAACAAATTTTTATGGGTTAATAACAACTTCAAGATAAGTACTTATTGATTTACAAGTATTTAAATACCTAGGAACATGGGTGGAATATAAGTACGTCTGTAAGAGTTGTACCCACCCGCCCGTGCTACATACTTAAGTGTAAACCTCCCCTCTTCCATAGGCAGGTTAATGATCAAATTAAAAAAAAATGTATATACCTATTAAAAAAGATAACCTAATGTTTTTATATTATTTACTTTTCCATTTTCTTAAATACATCATTATCTATTAAAAAAATTAATTTGACACCTCTATAAGTTATAAAGGATAATTCTAAAAAATAATTTATAGCTGATAAATCAAGGAATATACGTAAGAAAAAAAATGTTCTATTATTGCATTTATTTTGCAAGAAATCAAGTGATTTATGATAAACCATACACTCAATATATTTTTATAACATTTAAAAAAATATAAAATTATATATTTAAAAAACAATATTTAATATTGTTAATACTATAAAACAATTAATTAACAGATTACAAAGTGTACTTAAAAATCAGAAGAACCAATGTAAATTAGTCCAACCTTGAATTTACTCAAACTGAAGTGGGTTTCACATTAAAAATACAATATTTCTCACTAAAAAGTACTTAAAAATAGGCTTATGCAAAATGAAATAAATTGATTGTGATTACTCCTTGGTATTATACAGGATAATTGATTTATTGTTCGCTACTAGATTTCTCCTAAAATAATTTTTTTTTTACAGGGGGGGGTTGTGTAGTAGTATTTATTCTTTGATTTATAAGTTGTTAAATATTTTTAGAGTTATGCATTATCTATTATAAGGGTTCCAACTTCATTTTAGCATCAATGCAAAGCTGAGAAGGTATTAATTTTACTATGTGTTTTTTTTTTGTCTGTTACTATTTTTTTTTAGCTATTACCATAACGATTTTTTTTCAACAATACGTCAATAGATTATAAATTGTATCTAGTCGAAGACATAACCCTCAAAAATTGATAAAAATTTTCCTCGTTCCCTGTTAATGGAGAAAATCTCCAAAAAAATTATAAATTTAAAAATCAATCATTTTCAACAAATATTTTTACTTAAAACTGCCATAACTTTTTGAAAAATAGATGAATAGAATAAATTTTTTTTATTGTTAGATTAAGTATTTACCTATAATTTGGTATATATTTTTTGAAAATCTGACCTTTTACCTGTTTGACCCCAAAGTGGAATTAGAATTTTTGCATTTTTTTTTTTTAATTCTTTTTCAGTTAGGAAAATAATTTTCAACCAATTTGATTTTTATCACATTTAGATTCAATAACTTCAATGATTATCATGAATTTAAAGTATTGCATTAATCTCTTTAATTTTTATACACGATTTAAATGATAAAATGAATTTATTTATTATTTCTCCGTAAAAATTACAATATTAAATCAGTTAAACAAACTAAAATAATTTAAAAAAATTGATTTGAATAGTTAGCTAAAAAGTAAATATTACATTTCAAATATTTTTTTAAAACAATATCAAAAAAATGGGGGGTGATTAAAAAATAACTGTCATATTCCTTTTACTATTAAAAAAATTTTATTTTTATTCTATAAAAAATGTATTAATTGTTGATCTGTTAGCAATGAATTATTAATTGTGTAATTATTAATTTTATTTTTCAGAATTAACATACCTGAAACTTGTAAAATTAATATTCAGCCATAATAGAATAGCATCTTTACCCATCGAATTAAGATTAATGACTAGTTTAGAGAAATTAGATGTTGCTGAAAATCCATTGGTATCTCCTCCGTGTGCTGTGTGTACTAAGAAAAATTTTAATAAATTAATAATACTTAAAATAGTTGTTAAATTAATTATAAGATTTAGGTTTTATTTCTTTATTTTTTTGTTTGAAGGTTTGTTCAAAAGGACGAATTTTTATATTTAAATGGTTGGAAATGAAAAGTATTAAAGAAGGTCGTGGAAGAGCAATGTCTTCGTGGAAGTTCAACAGTGTAAAAAATAGTCATCATAGTTTAGATAGTAATATGGACAGTTTAAATATGTCAGAACCAGCTAGTCTAGTTCACTCTTCGGATGAGGTAAGAAAATTATTGTTTTAATTTGCGAAGAAAGTAAATAAATATAAAATAATTTCTAGGGTGCTAATGGTAGTTTAGAACATATTAATAAGGTGGATAAAAAAAATGGAGAAACAAATGGTTATAATTATAATGCTAGGTAAATTAAAGTTATTAATATATAAGCAACAAAAATTGAATTAATTGGTTATTTTTTTAGTCCTGAGTTTTTAAGAACAAGTAAAAGTAATGGCAGTACTCCCACTTATTTGAAAAAATTTACTAATGGTAGTAGTAACAATGATAATTTTGATGTTATTAAACAGAATGAGAAACCTACTATGCATACTCAAAGTTATAAGTATGTTTTTTTAAGATAATCCAGTGTATTATATAATCTTTAAATAATTTTGGTTCAAATTCTAGGGAGTATAAAGAGTTCCTTAAGCAACAGAGAACTCAAGACAGTATTTATAAAGGTAAAGTTCAAAAAAATGATCTAGGTAACGTTAATAAAAAAATAAGTAATATACAAGATATCCGTCCATATATCAAACCAACTGCACCAGAAATTAAACCAATTTCGAGCAATAATATTATTGCACCAGTACCATCATATCATCCACCCATGAAAGTTTGGTCCAATGACAATACAATACAAGTGACTAAAAGTAAATTACAATTCACAATGAAAAGAGAATATGAAAAGGCTAAAGAAGAGGCTGAACTTGTAAAACAATTAAGAAATGTGATTAATTATAAAATTATATTTTATAATATATTTTACCAATGAGTAAAATTATTTTTATAGACAATTGAATCACGGTTGAAAATGTCGCTACCAAGTGAATTAGCACCAGCTTTAAGTGATGGTGTTGTGCTCTGTTATTTAGCTAACCATGTCAAGCCAAGATCTGTAGCTAGTATCCATGTACCTTCTCCAGCTGTTGTAAGTTATATTAAATTAGAATATTATTAAAATCAATGCTAAATAATTTGTTGGTGCATTTTTTATTAAGTTTTTACTAAGCGACAAAAAACTTATAGTAAAATATGTATTTTTGTGACTATTGTGTGGCACCTAGTTCACTAGTTCAGAAAATCTTGTTCTAGATAAAAATAATAGCTAAAATCATAAAATATTATTTTTATTTTAATACTATATTGTTTTTTAATGTTAATTTTCAGTGAAACTTGGCTATTTCCTTTAAACACAATACAATTTTTTTTATTTTTATTTGATACTTTATACTACCTATATTAATAAAAATATGCATTAATATACCACACTTATTGCAGTATTTGGAGCATTCAACCAATTGTTATTATTCAATTATTATTCCTTAAAATTCTTTAAATATTTTTAGTGTATAAGCACAATATTTTAAATATTTGGTATTTAGATTTTAAAAATGTCAAATTTTATTATTTGTCATTTTTTCAAGTATAAAAATTACAAATATATTTTTTTGTATTGCTATCTTAAAATGGTCTTGCTTAAGTTTAGATTCAAAATTTTATGTTGTTGAATTAAGACGTGTTATATTTCTATCTCCTTAAAAATTATATAAAATATGCATAACTCTAATTTTATTGTGAATAAATCCATAACATTTAAATATAACTTTATTATCTAAAACATTAATATCAATTTTGAAGAATCAATTAAACAATAATTATGATAAATTTTTACTCATACTTTGTATAACAATACACCAAACATTTTGATTATAGCCTAAACTTACTATGGCAAGATGTCGACGTAATGTAGATAACTTCTTGGAAGCTTGTCGAAAAATTGGAGTTAATGATGTAATTATTTATTGTAATTAAAATTAAAAATTGTGCATCAGATTAAAATTATACATACATTTCAGAAACTTATATGCTGTGCAGTTGATATATTAGAAGGAAAAGGAATTGTTCAAATTGCTATTACAGTAGCAGAGCTTTTAAAATTTTATACACCAAAATCTCCTTCTCAGACACACCATATACAAACTATGGTAAATGTATAAACTTATTTTTAGAAAATAGAATAATAATCAAATGTATAAAATAATATATATGACTGATATTTCATGCTCATTAATTTTAAATGCTAGTTTAACATTAAAGACTGTTGTAATAAACCTAATTTAAAATATGAAATATCTCCCAAGTTTGATGGAGAGGCTAAATTATTTTGATAATAGATTTTTTAATCAAAAATTATTCAAATTAAATTTACATAGAATTAGTGTATAAACTACTCTATAATTTATTAGCTCTATAAAATCGTTATTAAAATAAATTTTTTGTAATTTATTTAAAATTAGTAGCTAATGATAATAAGTGAATATTCTTACTATATATGCCCTAAAAATGTCTGTGTTAACTAATGGTTTTGTCATTCCTAATTAAAAATAGTTATATTTATTAATCTACAAAAAAATGTATTTTGAACAAATTAGCTAATTTTAATCATTTAAAGTTAAATCCTTTTATATTATTTTTCACTCGTTTAAGATTTTCAATTTATTGATTAGAATATTCATTTTTATAAATAATATATTAATAAATCAAGTCACAAAAAATGAATTAAGTGATAATTCTCATTTAATTACTTATGCACCTTTAGATTCTTTATTATCAGGTAATCATAATTTTATCATTTTTTTCAAATTTAAATAAATAAAAATCTAATTAATAACTTATCTTTCTTAATATTTAAAATTATATATTGTATTGTATGTTATTTTAAAGTGATATTTAATACTACTTATGATTAGCAATCAATTATTTTAATTGTAACTTTTTATTTTTTTTATTTTTATAAAACTATTTTTTAGATGTAAATACTTTTGTTAATCTAATTGAACAATAATAAACAAAATCCATTGATGAAAATGAAATCTGTGAATAATATTTAATATATTCCAATCATAAACTTCTTATAATTAGTACAAATGAGTTTATTCATTCATATAAAGAAATTTGTTGACAATAGCAAGTGAGGCATAGCTGATTTCAATATTTTTGTATAAATATGAAAAAGACTCAACATAAAATTATTTTATTTCTATTCAAATCATGATTACTGTATCAAGTTATTAAGGATGTCAAAACCTAGTGGGAAATTCTGTACATATATATAAACCTATAGGATAAAGTGTGGCATAATGAGGGTGAGCTACAATAATTTTTCCTGGCTTTCATGAATTTTTTTATTAAATTTAAAATATCAATGAATTTAATTTAATTAATATATTTATTTTCTATACAAACTTATTGAATCTCAAAAATTAACTTGCAACATTTTGGTTCTATCTCATTTTGGTTATACATGTAAAGCGCTGTGTTTTGTTGAAAATACAATATTGTAATTGTGTTCTGAGAAAAAGAAAACTATTTTATCTGAATTTCTTCTAAAATATAGCCTTTAACATTATAATGATAATTCATAATTTATGAAGTATAATTTAACTCAATAAAATAGGTATTCTTATAAGTAATTTTTGTTATTGTAATTATTTATTTTCAGTATTTTATTGTTATTACAGTGTTTTACATTTTAAACACAATTTAAAATTGCCCTTCCTTTCATGCATAATTTTCTCTAATGCCATTTCACAAATTTTTATGTACTTAAATAATACACTAATCATTTTATTCACTTACATATCCTACATTAATATTATCTTAGATACTACACAATACAACATTTAAAATTAATTATTTAAGTTATACAATGCAGTAGTTCATAATTAACCCAAAAAAAATATACATTTAAAACAAAAGTAATTGGTATAATGACTAGAAATTTTTTTTTACATTGAAAAATTGGATTCAACTAGCTTAGATATAAATACTATAAGATGACGAGATGATGTGATTTTAGATAACCAATACATAATATGTTTTGGATAGTTTAATTAAGTCTTTATAAATTATATATGTCAAAAATCTTTCAGAACAAATTGCAATTGAAAATAATTTTTTTTGAAACTTTTTTATAACACAGTCTTATTAAAATGTTTAAAAATTTAAAAAACTAAAGCCCTGTTTTGGAGGTCATAAAAATTGTTTTGATTGTTTATAATAAAAAAAAATTTATAAAAAATTTGTTGAAAAACAGGCACTAAATTATATACTAATAATATAAGTTTCAATTGTAGAGATTAAAAATATTAAATCTATAACTTGTTTAATAGACATATTTTTTTTTATATGAAGAATTAATAAATTTCAAAACAAAAACCATTATTTATAAATTGTTATTAGAAAATGATACGAACATTAAACAAATTATTTAGAAATAAAAAAAATCTAATACTTTAATCGAAGTCATTATTTTTTAGTTAAAATGAATTTTTTTGACAATATCTACATTAGTTATTTGTGTGTTTTTTTTTTAATTTTTCATAATTAAGCTCAAAATTTGAGTTAGATCCAGTGTTCTTTACATTGGAATGTTTACTTATTACTATTTATACATCATTCATTATATTACACTTAATATTATAATAATAGTTTAAATCTCAACAAATTGAGTTCATCTTAACAATTAATAATATAAAATGTGTAGTCTTAACTTAATGCATTACATGATTACAAAGTTGTTGAACCAATATTAACAGTGATAAAAATGTTATCATAATTATAGTGATAATATGTTAGGATTTTAAAAAGTGAAATTTGATCATTTTCAGTGCAGCACTTATATCCTTAAGTAATACTTAGTATGCTAGCTATTCATTTATAAAATAATAGTTCAAACTATAGTTGCTGTGGTAGCCTGTGACCAGTTATTCTAGATTATATATAGATAGATAAAAAAAAAAGAACATTATAAACAGTGATATATAAACAAGGATAACAGACTGACCAGCGAGCACCTTTCGTATAATTTATTTAACTATTAATAAATTTTGTAAAAAAAAAAAAATATATATGAATATAAAAATGTAAAGAAAAAAAAATTCACTTGTACAAATTTTTAATGTTAATTTTAAACTTAAATTAAAGATTATAGTTAAATTTATTTAAAAATAAAACTAATTATATAAACTTATTATCATATAAAATTGGAACATCAAGTTTTAAACTAGGACAAAATTTCTAATGAGTTCTACATTACACAAATGTATACACAATAATAATAATAATAATAATTTAATTAATACAATAACAAACCCACATTAATTAAAGGATGAACATATACTGAAGAATGGGATGAAGGGAAGAGTACAACTCTTACTGTAAGTGAGGTAATTCTAATGTCAAATTTTCATTTTCTATAAAAAATGCTAATACATAACAAAAATATTACAATATATTGATAGAAAACTAATATTGAATATCATAATACTATGATTGATTAATTATATTTTAAGTTTTCAAATCAACGTTGATGAAATTATCACCAGTAGATATGTGCTGAGAGATTAAATTTAATTACATTTTCACACAAATAGATGATTAACTGCTATTCATAACTTATGTTATTTAAGAAATTTATTATTATTAATACGCATTTAAAACAAACTTTTAAAAAATATTTTTTGTTCAGCGTAGATTAATAATTTTATTGTAACAATTTTATTTTACTTATTTCTATAGTTTAAATTACCTTATAAAAAGCAAATTTATATTTATAAATGTAAATGAATTGTGAACTGTATATTGTGAATTGTGTATTCTAAGCCAAATTTGAGCATTTATTAAAAAGTAGCATTCACCCCTGCATTTATACTATTTATAAAAAATAGTAATTTCATTAATTTGACATTAACATTGTATATTTAAGCCTTTAAATAAGTAAATAATGTAAAAATAAAGAATGCAAAAATATACATTTTTAGTTAATGAGTTAAATAAATAATAATTTGGATGGCGGCAATCTAATTAGTAAACTAATAAATTTAATTGAAATTAATTATTCTAATAAGGTGAGATATGGTTAAAGCATTAATATAATGATACAATAACGTAAATGGCAGCCAAATGAGAATTTGAGATCGTTTTAATACAATTTAATAAAAAAAAATTGGGTAAGTTCATTTATAAAATAGTTATACAATTATGACTAGATTTTCAGTTCAGTGGATGTCAAAAATTGTACAGCTGACTAATACACAAAAAATGAATTTAAACAAATTACAATTGTGCATCATCTAGTTCAAGGTCACCAGTTCCATCTCTACTGTACATATCAGCTAACTTATCAAAATGAGATCCCCATGCCATCAAGTACTCATAGTCTTGATGGTCTTCTTCAGTACCTGTTATTATAAAAATATAGTGGTATTAAATAGTCAGGTGTAAAGAAATTGGTCTTAATTAATTACCTGTGTTCAATGAAGACAAGGATCCTGCAGTACTACCGCCTCCTTCATAAGCATAATTTCGTAGATCATCAAAAGGTGGAGCATTGGGGTCTCCATCAGCTCGTTTTTTGTGGTCTTCAATAAATATTCCAACATTGGGTTCAACACCTGTTGGCATTGTGGGATCTAAAAATTAAAAATTGTTTATATATTTATATTAAATACAAAAAATAAAAATTAGAAGCTTTAATATATCCATAAATATAATACACCAAAAAAATGATCAAATTTATATAATAAAAATTGTTAACTTGTAGCTAATTTTGTTTAAATATTAATTTAAACAGAAATGTTTAACTCAAAAAACCACAAAAATACTAAAACACCTGCATACACGTATGTGCGGTTTTATTTTTTATGGCTTTTTGAGTTTAATAATTTTAAATTAATATTTTATATATATTTTTATAAAATGTTAACTTAAATGAGTACTTGGAATAGACTGTATTGTTCTTCTTGAACAATGAATGGAAAAGTATGTCCAGAACCCTCACAATTTAAAGTCTTGGTACTAGACTAAAGAATTCCAAGTTTTTTTTTATTTGTAAAATAATGATCAAAAAAAATATCTTTAAATTATGATCAGTGTTTTGGTACTATTAGTCAATTTAAATTCATCCTTGTAAGATCTCTGGCCATGTTGGATAATTTCACAAGATATCTTATAAACTAGTGATAAAAAAAACAGAATTACATTTGTATTTTTGAGGATGCATATTATTAATGGATCCGCCTATGGGTATTTGTAAAGGTGTAATATCAAAAGCTGTCATGTCATCTTCACCACCACCTTCATCATCATAATTAATAATATTTTCTCTCACATCATCGTCAGGTCCTGGATATTTGATCTGTGATTCTCGTCGACGATTGTATACAACAAACATCAACACCAATACTGTAAACATTTGAATATTTAAGAAAAAAGTACATTATTTAGATTCTATCTTAATAAATAATTTAATTTAATTAATTAAAAAATTGTAAAACATTTTTAACATAATAATGTCAACAATTTTTTTTCTATTTTTAAGTTGATAATATTAACTTTTAATCAAAAATTCATCCTTAGTGGATTTTTATTAGCTGAAAGAGAAAGCTGTGAATAAGTAAATTAACAAAGGAAGTTTTTTAGCATTTTTCTAGGAAACAAATTTAAAAAATTTTTCAAACAATATAAAAAATGTTTTATTTTGATTTAAAATATGTGTTTGAGAAACACATCCAAAATTACATACTTTCTGTAGTTACTATGATGTAATTCTTAAAATCTACTAATATTTTTAATTAATTTTTTACTTACTGAGAATTATTAAAAGACAAACAAGAATTGCAGCTAAAGCACCTGTTCCAATTTTTAGTTTTTGACCTTCTTGAGCTAACTCACAATTTTCTCCCCAAAATCCATCTGGACATATGCAGCGATATCGCATTCTAGGATCTTGATTTAAACAAACACCACCATTTCTGCATGGACTATCAAGACATTCATTTTTATCAACGCAACCTTTACGGTCAGCAGTCATTATGCGTCCTTCTCCACAACTAAAAAGTAATCTTATAATTTTTAATCTTAAAAATTTAAGAAGTTACTCACGTGCAATCATAGTAATTCCAAAGGTCAACACACTCAAATGGCTCTTGACAAATAACATTGGCACAAGGTTTATTTGATGGGCAGTTTCTTTCTACATTTCGAGCCATTGTAGCTTGCCCCCATTGAGTGCCATTAGTAGCTGGTGGTAATGGCAGATATCTACCTTCCAATCGAATGTCATCCAAACAGCCTAAAGATTATATTTGTACAATTATAACTCGACTGTAAATTATATCAAATCTATCTTATTTACCTTTTTGGAAGTCCCCGTACACTTCAAATGTTCTAACACCTGTATATTCTGCTTTGCCTCCTGCATATACTCCTTCTTGTTTATCAACCATAAGCCATTGATGACCTTCAAATCTGTAAGTCTCATTGTAGTGTTTTCCTTCACCGCCATCGAGTTCAAGTATTGCTGATGAACCATATCTAGACACTCTAGCCAAGTGCCATTTACCATCATCTACAGTCACAGCACTTAGCCATACATCCTTTTCTTCTGTTCTTAAACTGTTTAAGTTATATCGAAAGTATAGTTTGCTGTCTTTTATCTACAATTAAAATTTCAGTTTAAGTAATATTACAAAGCTGAGAAAATTCTAGATACATAGTTAAATTATTGCTAAAGAAGAATGGTAACTCCCATAACTGAGTTAATCTCTCGCTCAGCAAATAGACCCTATTGTGACAGAATACATTAGGCACTGCAGTGTTACTGACTAGGCTATACTCTTTCGTCATTAATAAAAAAAAAAATACCTAATAACTTTTTCATTATAGTTTGTTTTTATGTTTGCCAACATTTATTTCAAGAAAAAAGTTTATATTATTATACTTAAAGATTATTACTTACCTCAAGGATAGCATATTCTCTATTGTGTTGGTCACTGACTCTAAACAACTCTCCATGTTCTTCTCTTGTTCTAAACCGTAACTGAATTTTGGTCATAAATTTGTCAGCATCAAACGACAAAGCATACTTGACATAACTCTGTGGTCGAAAAGTAGTAGGTGTAGTAGCAGTCATGCAATCAGCACCAGACCAACCAGGTAGACATTCACATCTTGCTTCATCCATACTTCCAACACAAGTTCCATGTTTCAAACATCCACGTGTACTGGTTGTTTGCAAACAAAGATCTTCTGTTTGAGGGCATTTTGCATAGCTATTTCGTGTCAAACCCGGTTCCGCCAAATCATAAAGCTACAATTATTTAGAAAGTTAAATTAAGTAAAAGTAAATCAACTAATATTATTATAATACTTACTTTACTATTGTGATACACATTTCTAATGCAGCCATCAAATCCTTTACCATAAGGAGCCGCTTGCCAATGATAGCGAGTTGGGTCAAAGTCTAACATATACCTTCCACCTAACTGAAGTGGTGTATTGATGTTCAAAAATTCATTAAATGGTGGTATAGTGCCTTGAGCTTGACAAGATGAGTCATCAAATTCAGGGTGAGAACCATCTTCCAGTTCACGTACATCAGCTGATCGACAGTTGTCAACAACTAGGCGTACATTCTATAATCAAGACAACATTTTTTTAATGAAATCATAACTATGATTGTCTATATTTTTTAGGAAATGGAAAAATGATTATTTCCCAAAATTTTTTTTTATCTAATTAGATTTAAATTACCTCAGTGTCCCAAAATATATCAATTTTGTGCCATTCACCATCTTGTAAACCTTTTTTAGTTTTTACATTAAGCTCTAAAGTACCTGAGCCAAAATCTATGAGCAAACGTGGTCTACCTCTATCTAGTTCCAATGAAATGAAATCTAACAATAAATGTTGATAAAAAATTTAAAAAAAAATTAAAAAAAAAAAAACAACCAAGTAGAATTAAAAATATGCTATACCAGATACTAAAGTTTCTTCAGGCTCAGGTGGTACAATCGGTCCATTATACAAAAGTAAACCATCAGCTTTCTTTGTAACAAATTCTAAACTCAAATGTGAATCTTCACACATTTCTAACGGTGGATACCATGCCCATCCATTTCCTCTAAAACTTCGTGATGTTTGCTGGCATCTTGGTCCATTAAAGTCAGAAGGACATTCACATATCGGACCATTTTTAGTGTCTGTACATCTACCGCCATTTAAACATGGGCTATTTCTACATGTGTCCATACTGGTGAAATTTCGTGCACCACATGTACATTCAGCATTTGAATCGATTCGAACACCAACTAAAGCTGTTTTGTTAGCATTCACCATGTATGGGAGTGCATTGATTTCTACTACATTGGTGCAACTAGCCTCACAAGTAGCATACTCATATAAACACTCGTCAATACCAACCATAGTGATATTGATACCAACATCTTTTTCAATCTACAATTAAAAAACATACAACAAATTCTTTTAATGATGTTTAATTAAGTATTTTAATAATCTATTGCCCGTTGATTTACCAATCAAGAAATTGGATAGAAAATATGTAAGAGTAAATTGTTGTAAATAATTTGAGGTAATGAAAGATTAGTAGAAATAAAAGAAGTGTACAGCATAAAGTACTTAACAATGATTGTTGAATGTAACACACATTTTGTTATAAATATACAAGTGATTAATGTAATGAAAAACACAGTCGTTATAGTATAAATAATGTGGAAGAGGAGACCACTTAAATACTAAAATAAATATATAATGGTGCAAATAACACAATTATGTAAGATTAAACAAACAACAAGCAAAGAAATATTCATTAATTTGGCCCTGTAGATAGCTTTGAGATAAAGTCAATCGAGATGAAGGATAAATGGATAGACAGGATATTGGATGAAGTATCATGCAAAACTTAATGACAAATTTGTAGGCGAAGAATGATGATAATAATGATAATTGGACAAGACGATTAAAACCAATGAGTCAATGGAGAAAGATCTATAAGAATTTCAGGATGACAGAGTTACACAAACGTCAAAATGTTTGCTGCAGGGAAAACAGGACCGTAATATCATGGTGTACAAAAAAATGACTAAGATAAAGAAAAACGTAAATTGCTACGCTGTAGAAAATGAACTTAGTTAACAGGGAAGCAGTCAAGAGGCGCATAGCTTGTCACCAGATGTCAATGTTGTCAAGTTAACTGAAATTTCTGTGGCAACCAAGTCTGACCAAATAAGTATATGTTACATAATTAAAAAAAAAGTTTATACTAATCGTTTTATGATAAGTAATTAATCATTTCTATTTTTTTAAAATTAGCTTACTTCTTCGCGGTGCATTAATATGAGCCCATTCAGTTTTACTGTTTTATAGTAAGGTGATCCATGTGCGGAAAACCTTATATCAGTTAACGGTGGGTATTTTCTTTTCAATTGAACACTGAAAACATCAATATTTTCTCTAGGTGTACTTAAAATATCAACTAACTTATCTTTAAATCTATCCAATTTGCTTCGGACCAAACTTTGAGTCTAAAATATTAAAAATGACAAAATATAATAGAAAAGTATAAAAAACAACATAACTTTACAAGAAAATATGTAATTAAAATATAGGAATAACTTACTCTATAGTTCCATATTCTAATAAAGTCTTCGTCGGTAATACCAGCAATACGAATGGATCCAGCATTTATAACTGCCTCATGAGAAATTTCTTTCACAGTTACAGTTACATTTGCAGAAATATCAGTTTGTGTATGCTTCCGATCATACACTTTAAAACGTAAGTGGTACTGCCCTTCTCGGGTACCATGTCGCATTGTTATCATTCCGGTAGTATCATTTAGTTTAAACCTAGGATGTTCTGTACCATCTGAATAGAATTTTTTGTCTGGCAAATCCCAGTCATCCAGATCATATACATATACACGACCAATCTCTGTATCGGGTGCTTGACCCTATATCAACAACATATAATAAATATTCATGATGCTGACTATAAGTAATAATAATATACCATATAATTGTAAACAAATATTTCTTTTGAACCCGGTTGCATCTTGTTATCATTTACATCTCTAATTACTACTGTTAATGTACTCGTGCCTGTCATAGCTGGATTACCAGAGTCTTTGATTACAATTGGTATAAGATATTCTTTTTGTTGTTCTCGATCAAATGATCTAAGAGATGACACTACAGCCATTCCGTCACCATTTGCACCCTCTAGAAAGAGTCGAAATTCAAACCATTATTTTAATTTCAAAATAATTTTTTTTTACTAATTGTTCGACTATACTCACTTTGATCATGCTCTACTTTGAAAGAAGCTCGAATAACATCATCTGCATTGGGATCCATTCGGAACGTAAAAGGTGGTCCATTGCTTTTAGAACGGTCGTCATCATCGGTGGCTAAAACTTCTACTACTTTGCGTGCAGGAACGTGTTCTGGTAATACCGGTCTATAATCTCTTAGTAATTTTGGCGCATTATCGTTGATATCCTGAACAATAACTGTTAGAGTAGCTGTAGCTGTTTTGGGCGGAATACCGTCATCAATAGCCAAAATTTTAACCTATATCCATCCAGACTATGTGAGTTAATAAAAATATTTGTATAGAACTTATATTATATCTTAACTTACCTGATGTCTGGGTGTTTCTTCTCTGTCTAACTGTCGTTGTATTGACACAGTTCCTTCTTGACTAATACGGAATTGTCGACGACGATCCGACGCTCGGTCAATAGCGTATGACACTTTGCTTTTACCTCCTTGATCTGGATCAGTAGCCTTAAATGTTTCCAAACTCTTTCCGATTTCTGCGTTTTCATAGACAGATACTTCAATGTTAGGTCTCTCAAATTGTGGTTTGTTGTCGTTTATATCACGTAATTTGACTACCACCCAAGAGTAAGCTACATGATATTTGTCGTTGTCATTGTCTTCTCCCTGAAATCCGATATATTTATAAATAAAACATAATGTAATTTAATATCCTTAAATTTTACAACAAAAAAAAATTTCATGATTTGCAATAATAGATACTTTATTATAGAGAAGTAAAATTTATTAAAAAAAAAAAACCAGCACAGAGAGGTTGCGGCATAATGGGAATGTGGCACAACTAAGAATAGTATAAATTATATCAAGCAGTCATTAAAATCACTATAATTAAAACTGTTTCATTAAATAAATTTGTACATAGTGTATAATTTTATAAAACTTGTGAATCATTCCTAAAACAACATCAACTCCTATTTCCTTAATTATATCCTGATTAGTAGTTCTTTGATTTATAAATATAATATTTGAATAAATACTTAGTAATTTATAGTTTTAGTTATAGTAATAAAACTTAGTATGAAATGATATTTAATAATTTAATATTGTAAATTTAGGGAGTAACTATAAAATAGTTATAAATTTTGCTATTTCTATGACAAACATATATCAAAATTAAAGAGCTTGATGCAAAACTTTTCAGAAAATAATTAAAAATAATTTGATCTAAACTGGTCTACAAGAATTTTCATCAGGGACCAAAATATACATTTCTAAATTCATTTTTGCGCTGCTTTCAAATCTGCAATTACATTTTTTCTACTTATCATCTACAAAAGTCATAACAATAACTTTTTTTAAATTGTGATTCATATTTTTCATTTAAAATACAAGAATAGTTTTAATAAATATGTGATACGAGTATATTCTTGTAAAATTATCTTACACTCATTTTTATAAAATAAAAATGTATAGTGATTTCCCACTAATCGACGTTTAAAATTTTTTTTTGGTTCAATTTTAAATTTATGTTTCTATTAGCTAAATGTTAAGTAAAATAATACAAAAAACAGTATAACTAAAAAAAAAAAAATGCCTAGATATTTAATAATACCTATAATTGTGAGACATATGAGAAGTTACAAGTATACTATGGGATAATATTATCACATTGTTGGGTTGACATCTCACATTAGTCCAATAATGTTATTGATAATAAGTGTGGGAGTTTACAAAAATAAGATAAATAATGAAGCTTTCAAGAAATCATTTGATCTAAGTAGTCAAATAAATTTTTGAGTGATAAATTTTTATTTACCCATAAAAAAAAAATGATTAAATTTACCATGCTCATATCGCTACTTTATTGTAACAAATTTTGTACACAAAAAGGTAAACCATATAAAGCTATATTAAAAAAAAAAAAAAAATGTAACTTGTGAGGGTTCATTTCTGGTGTCAAGAATTGTTCAATATATTAAATAGAAAATTACCTTATCATTAACTTGTATACGAAAACGGAATCCGTTACTTTGTAACAGATCTTCGTAGTCCAACGGCTGGACGATTTTCAGTGAGCCTGTACCATCGTTGTTGCGAACCATAGTGAATTTATCAGCACCATAACCGCTATTTTCAATTACCTAAAAATTGCAATTTATGTTATATTTGATATGGGTTTTATAAATTAAGGTAGTGATGAAATATTAAAGTATTGTCAGCTAATTTTATACCTTATATTGGAACTTATTTGTCTCGTCTTCGTCGTGGACCGTTACAGTCAAAATAGGAGTTTCTGGTAGATTTGCACCGTCAGTTTCATCAACTTCTGTCAACCATTCTTCTTTGGTGAATTGTGGTGGCATATCGTTGATATCCTTCACTCGTATTGATGCTGTACCTGTACCTTTTAGCCCTCCGCCATCCATAGCTACAACTTGAATAGAATAATCCGGTGTTCGCTCTCTGTCCAAACAACACACAGCTGTCTTGATCACACCCGTATCGGATTCAATTTCAAATATTGGTGTGCCAGTTTCTTCTTCAATAACATTTTTCTCTATCGAGTATATTAGTTTGGCATTAGTACCTTCAGCTGGATCGTCGTAATCCACAGCCGTCATAGTCATTACCACCATTCCTAAGATGAAATAAAGCATAAAATGAGGAAGTCACTAGTAACAGTTGATAATGATCGATGGATCATAAAATCGTTAATTTTCTATTATTTTTAATAAATTATCTAAATTATCGTCAATTATCTAAAATTAAGATAATTGAAAAAAAAAAATTACCAGCCGTTCCATTCTCAGTCACATTGCCCCAGTAAACACCCTGTGGGAACAATGGAGCGTTATCGTTGATATCCTTTAAATTCACTTGCACGTCCGCATATCCTACTAAGCCTTCGCCGCCTTCATCTTGAGCAAAAACAGTAAATCTCCATTGAGGTCTACCATTTGGTTGGTCTCTATCTAAGGGCTATAAATAAACATTGAAAATTTATTAATAATACCATTGAAGTATTATAAAATATATCTTATTATAATTACTTTGAGCACAAATATTTCACCGGATGTGCGGTTTATATCAAATTTACTATTGGCTGGATTATCGGGATCTATTCCCTGACCGGTGAGAAAATATACAATGTTTTGTGGACGATCCTTATCACCATCAGTAGCTGTAACCTAATTATAAGAGTAATTCGTTTAAATAAAAATTAAGTAATCTCAATGTTGCATTGATTTAGAATCGGGGAATGATAATTGCAATATAGCGACTAATATTATCTACTCTTCTAAAATTAAAACTTGTGCTGATGAATAAATAAATAAAAAAAAAATGAAAGGAGTACTATTTATAATCATTACCTGATATCCAGATAGTAAGGTTGGTAAAATATAGCTTTATCTTGTTACAATATAATTATAGACTTATGACACGTAGTTATTGTAAACACCCGTTAAAGAAGTAATTGCTCAAATTTTGGGTTAAATTCTATAAGATACTAACTTGTAACAAATGATGAGGATACTTTCCGACCAATTCTTCTTGCATTTCAGTGGCATACAAAGGAGAATTGAACACTGGAGGCATGTCATTCTTGTCGTTAATATGTATCACAACTGTGGTTTTACTGTCTTGGTAATTGTCGGAAGCAGCCAGAATCAATTCGTACTACGTTACACACATGCAAAACATACACTGGGGTGTCATTAAGGTAAAACAACTACATAGAACGCGGCCATGTGCATTTTATATACGTTTTTAACTCTATTTAAGAACTCTATATAATATAATTTGTACAATTTATTAGCTATAGGAATTTTTTTTTTTACATATCAATCAAAATTAATATGGCAATTATTTTATAAATCACATATAATTATTTTTTTTACAGATTAATTATTCGTTATATAGGATGACTAAAAAAATCGTGCTATATATTAATGGATGTCGAACATGCCAGTGGTAAAAGCTATATTACATTTTTAAACCAATAAATGAACTGGAACATATTTTTGTGGAAATAGAAATAATTCTTTAAATATCAAATCGATGATTTTGTAGGTTAAATAATTTTGACTATGAATCTATTAAATTCCAAGCTGAAATAATATAAGTTAAGTGAATTCATAATTAAAAAAAAACAGTTTTCATCTTTTTAGTTTTTAATTAAATTACTTAGTCCAGCTCATTTTTCGTTGATAATAGTGTGAATGTTTTAAATGATAACAAAATATTTCGTTTCATAAGGTATGGAAAAACATGCTACATGCAACGATCATGATGGGACAGGGGATATTATCGAACAGCGGACCTGTAATACGCGTTTAGGTAAATTGCGGTCGTCTTCTTCCGTGATCTGTGTCCTGTAAGTTGGCCGTTCGAACACCGGTGGATTATCATTGACATCTTTCACGTGTATCACCACTATGGTATGATTTTCTTTGAGGTTATCCGAAGCCGACAAGTGTAGTTCGTACTAAGCACACGAGAATGGCACACACGCGATCATCGTAAGTTAAATTATATTATAGTGTCAAATTTTTGAAAAAAAAAAAAAATAAAGGAAAAAAACGATATTAAAATAAAAATTATAAGTAATTTAAATAATAAATTGTACAAAAGAATCAATTGAATAATAGTTATCATTGGCGGGTTTAGTCAATTTTTTTTAAATTTGTATAAATTTAATAAGTAAAATTAAAATATAGTATTTTATAAAAATATAAATAATAATAACAATAATAATAATAATATAAATTATTAAGATAAAATAACTTTCATTAGATTCAAAATGAATGATGACTCACTCAATCGCTCGACCGTAATACATTTGTATGAATACAAGAATCCATTGTATGGAAAATAATTAAATAATGTTATTATTGATTGTGTTGTATAATCATTGCAGACGATAAAAATCAATTGCACTCGGCATCTTAATCTAAGAAAATTAAGATGAAGGCACGCAAAGAATTTTTTCGGTGGGTGGTCTAATATTCACTCTGGTGTTTGAGGTGTTTTGAAAAGTCTGTTACACATTGGTAACTTTTAAGAAATTTACAAATAAATTTAACATGACAAACATTTTCAATGACAATTCAAAATTTGGCACTATTATTATGTATATATAACAATTTAGAAACTTTTGTGATTTGATCTTGATACAACATACACTACTATTTAAGTCCTTATCATTTTTATATCTTTCATAGGTCATAAATAATTAGTTGATGAATAATATTACGGTCGTCGATTCAATTAACAAATTTCGCAGTTAATAATATATAAACTTACTCTTTTTCTAGTTTCATAGTCAAGAGGCCCAGCTACATAAATTGCACCAGTCATATTTTTAACAGCAAAAGCACCTCCTAAGTTACCCCCAGTAATTTCGTAACGAATACGGGACGCTATAAAAATTAAACATCGAAATTATTGATTATATAAACATTTGAAATAGTAAAACTAACATTCATCATGATCTTTGGCTGTCACAGTTAATACTGTGTGTTGAATATCTTCATTTTCGTCTACTTCAGCCTCATACAAAGCTTTATCAAAGTAAGGTGGATTGTCGTTTTTATCAGCGATACCAATACGAATAAACTTTGATACTATTCAAAAGATATAATTCATTTGAGACACGATATATGAAAGATAAAATGATGAGTATGGATGTTATTTACCCGAATTGGGAGCGTTATCATTTCCAGGTCGAGCTGATGGAGCTCCATCTCTAGCTTCTACTTCTAAGGCATAAGCTCCTTGTTTTTCTCTATCGAATACTACTTTAGTGAACACTTCTCCAGTTTCTGTATTAATTTCAAAATAATCTTTTCCTTCATTACGTGGTGAATCAACCACATAATAGTACACCTGTGGAAATAAATTATAAAAAAAAAATTAAGTAGGAAAATAAATAAACAAACAAAAACATTTTATTCCAATAATTTGAAGTTGATTATTACAGAAACTTTACATACCCGATTATTGGGAAATGTACCGTCTTTATCAATAGCGTTGACCTGAGTTACTTTAGTGCCAATAGGTTCGCCCTCGAGTACGGTTTCCTGTTCTCTTTCAGTAAACAATGGTATCTCATCATTGACATCTTCTAACATTATAAATACTGTCGCTTCTGACGCAAGTTGTTGAGCTCCGTTATTCTAAAAAAAAAAACGGATTTTTAGAAGGATCGATGAAAATATAATTAAAATAATAAATTTGTACATTGAACGGATAATAATTTGATATATACCTCAACACGAATAGTTAAATTATATTCTTTGTTTGTCTCAAAATCTAAAGGATGATTCACTTTGATGTCAGCCCAGGTAAATCCGTTGTCAGGTCTTTGTTGTAGATAAAAAGTGTGAAACTTATTAGTTTGAGCTGTTGATCCTGGCATTAAACGATAAAATACAGTTGGATTTCCTTCTATACCCGAACTAGAAAATGTTAACGAAAGCATTAAAAAAAACATGAAAAAAAAGATTACATTAAATAAAAAAATTGTTTAAAAAGTGTAAACAGTGATTGTTAAGAAATTATTAAGAACCATTAAAAATGCAATAATTTTTATAAAACGAATTAAATTAATTTTTTTTCATTGATTAGTAAAAAACAATTTTATTTAAATATTAAGTTTAAACAAACTAGATAAATAAAAAAAAAAATTTTAATTTATTTGACAAATATTGATTAACCTTAAATTGAATCAATATTTAAGTTAATTAAACGAACTAATAAAAATTCTAAACCAAAAAAAGTATAAATCATGCGATATTCAAAAAATGGCAATAAAAATCTAATGAATTTTTTTTAAATCATAAAAAACTTTTTCAAAAAACAAAAATTAAATATTACCTAGTTTTATTAGGTAAAATAAAAAGAAGTTATTCAATTTTATATTATGCATAATATAAAATGCAAAAAAGCAGTCATATAAAAAAAATCTACATCATCAAAGTACAACAACAAAAACAATTACATGTCACATAATTATGTGACTATCATTATAATTACTCAAATCAAAATACAAGAAAATTAAAAAAATGTAATCTAAATTGCACATCAATTTATTTTGAAAAATGAATTAAAATAAATATTTAATTATTAAAAATAGTACTGATAAATTTAAATGAAATATAAATAAAATCACAAATGCGTTGGATTACTGTGCGAATATCCAATACCCAGTCTTAAAGTGCTAGTTATTATTTCGTATTTAAGTTTTTTAGGTATACGGGGATGGAGAATTATAACAGCATTTAGTTATTCTACTGAATAATTCTAAAAGAGGATGATTGCTTGTAGCAAACTCTTGTGCTATTCTTCGGAGAGCGTAATTAAGTATTCAGAATCAAATATTCAAAGTACTAAGTCTAAAAATCAAAAAGAATTACAGATAGGTAAATCAACGAATTTTCAAAAAAATATATTTATACACCAGCCTAAAAGTAAGAGGAAAAATTAAACAACGGTTTATTATATAGAATATTAAGGCTATTAACTTTAAATTGTAATTCTAAAAATACATATATATATATATATTCTATACTTTTAAAGATAATGTGTGGAGTCATAGTTAAACAATTACTATATAGTGATCACGAGAATCATTGAAGTACCTAGACAATTAATGAGAAAATTAGCTTAATGTCGAAGAAATAATTTACCTTGCATCAAAATACCTTTATGAATAAATCAACACAAATAAAAGGTGATTCTTTTATCATTGACTGACCATTTAATTGATAAATAATTATAATATTGAAAATTTTACTTTTGATTTCTCTTAGTGATATATTTTTCTTAAATTATCAATTATGAATTATTTTTTATGTTCATCTATTATACATTATAAGGGTGCAAATTAAATTTTTTCAAATGGCTACATACTTATTTAACTAGCTTATTAAATAGAAAAAATTTAATTAAGCAATAAACCAATCGATAACAATTATTGGACCAGCATTTCAAAAATTATTAACAATTTTAAGTTATGGCTGGAGATGAGGTACGAGTTATACTAATTTTATCGCTATATTTTTAGGTCGCATTACTCCTCTTACCAAGGCATAAAAGTGTTAATAATTTACAAAATTCTGATCCAAAAATTGTAATCTACCAGTAATTTTCTAAATTCATCCTTAATAAGTTAGTTAATTATGCATGTTGCCATTTAAAAAATTAAGTTTGAATCCTTATAAGGTATAAGGGATAAACTTAAAAAATGATTCATAATTTGAGATAAATATGGAACTAAAAGAAACCAATTAAAATATTAGCAATATTGTTTTTATTTTGCGACCAATTTAGCGATTCGTAATAAAATAATCACCTGTATATTAATTTAAAAAAATAGTAAGAATAACTGAAAATTATTTTATTTACAATCCGCACATAGATGACAACGTGCACTATGCTTAGTGCGGACATGCAAATATATATTTACTCTCATGCACTATTTATAAATTAACATATTTTAATAGGCTCAAATTCAAGTTTTAATTATTTACTGATTATATAATAATAATATAATTATAAAACTAAGAAAATTTAATATAAATTTTAAATATCTATTTAATCAAGTTTATTTATCTGCACTATAAAAAATAGTGATAGAATTCAATTATTTGTTTAAAGGTTTACAATTATTTTTATTTTTTATTATACAACTGATTATTGATTAAAAAATAAATTTTATAACTTTAACTATCAACATTTTAAATTAATATAAATATACGCTTAAAGAAACGTTAAGTTTTATTTACTTTTTCATAAAAAAACAATAGCATTCTATTGAAAAATAAACTTCCAAAAAATAAAAATCATTAATTATAAAAGAATCCCTTAATATTTCTTATATTTTTATTTATTTTTTGCTCTTACTATTATTTTATACTATATCTAAAACAGTACTATTAAAAAAAAAATTTAATTACCATTAAGTAAAAATTTACATAGTATTAAAAATTCTATTAAGCTCACACTCGACAACACAAATTTAAATTATGCATTTTGATGTTCTATATTAAACAAAAAAATATATTACCCATATATGCATTTTAAAAGTTTAGTATACTAAGATATTTGAATCAAAAAGTGTACACCCATAAAAAATAATAATAATGTTAAAAGTTTCGTGCAAACAGATTTTATAATCTATTAAAAAAAATATGTATTTGCGGACAAAATATTTTTTTTTGACCGACCTGGCTTTAACGGATACCACTTTAGCCCCAACCGGCTTGTTTTCTTTTATGTAGATAGGCCCGTACACGACGTGGTCCCAAACCGGTGGGTTGTTGGCTCGATCCACCACGTCGATTTGCACTTCGACGCTTCTAGACAGAGGGGGGTAACCCTTGTCTTGGGCGGTTGCTTCCAGCTTGTATGTCTCGCGCTACAGTTTAAAATGCGGAAAGGGGTGACAAAGGGATGAAAAAAAAAACACAAAAATATTGTAATAAACCTGTGTAAAAAAATTTGTAGCAATTTTGCTACAAAACGTACATACAATACTAATTATTATAGTATGTTTGTTAACCAAAAACCGTTTTGCCATTTATAATCACACCACAAAATATAAAAACAGCACTATAATTATTATTCACCTATACGCGCTTTAAGGATCAAAATCAATACTTTCAATTTCATTTTAAATTTCAATAGTGATTATTTTTATTTACCATTATTTGCCATACTTAAATATAATAAAACTATTATTGAAATTTAGGGGCCTGAATACAAACCTAGCTTTCACCGAAATCACAATGGTACCAATTGTGACATTTTCTTTGATGTGTGTAGGACCGTACACGCTGTGTTCCCAAAGAGGAGGCTTATTGTTCCGATCGACTACATCCAACTCGATATCGACCTCAGCAAACGACGGTGGCTGACCACAATCCGAAGCTCTTACACGTAGACGATACCTTTCTTGCTACATGTATACACACATAATTGCCCCCAAGTTAAATACAAAATTTCGACAAAACAAAGTATTAAAAAATTATATGAACAAAAAATAAAATGAGAGCAGTAAATTATTTTTAATATAGACAAAACTAAAAAAATAATTAAATCAGAAATGTGACCTAAGTCATTAATTTACTTTGACAAACAACTAATCATTCCTTTACTATGCATTCAAAATTTTATTATTAATTAGCAATGGCTGTATATTAATATAAGTAAGCGAATAAGTATGAAAGTACTACCAACAATTACAGGATTTAAAAATTAAAATCATATCAATTAAACAAATTTAGCGGTATATATTTCTATAAAGGTTTAAATACGTTTTAATTTAAAGAGAGGATGCTAACATTTTTTAGTTATTATAATATGATTTTTTACGCGTTTGCACATAGTTTCCAAGAATCCATTGTCTTAAAAAAATCATCCATAGGCGGATAACCAGATCAACAACATTAATAGTACAAACAGTGATTAAAAAATAAAAATAGTTAAATCAATTTTTCTTTGAATTTTTTTTTAATATTTATAACAAAAAAATTAAAATAAAATATATAAAAACATGAAATGAAATAGCATCTTATTTATGATTTTGTCATTAAAAATACCCATATTACAATTTAAAATTGATATTTTGTTTATTAAATGTTTTAATTTAATGCATCTAAATTTTGTCACCTTTTATTGGGGAGACTTTTTGACGTTAAAAACTAATTAAAATTCTATAACTAAGTAGTAAATAACTAAAAACATGCTTCAATAAATTTACATGCTACGATAGTCAAAGAAATACAACATTCATAAAATGGATTAAAATAAAGCCAAATAAATTAACCAAAAAAATATAATAATAAACAAAGACAATAAAAATATTCCAATAAAAATTTTAAATATTATAAAATTAGTTTTTATAGTTTTTAAACTTAAAAAATATATCCAATAAAGTTATTAAAAACAAACTACCACAAAAATATGGAATATTTTTAATGATACAAAAAAATGATAAAATTTCAATTGAAATGTTGCAAAAAAAAAAAGTTAAAATTAAAAATGTAAGAAATTTCTAACAAAATTTAATAATTGGTTTGCAACATTTCTACAGGCTCTTTAAAATTACACATAAAAAAAATACTATAGCTAATGCAATTCAAAAAAATGAAACCTGTAATAGAATAACATTAGCACTACGCCTAAGCTGACAAGAAAGTCAGATGTTGAAAAAAATGTATTAAAAAATAAAAAAATAGTTGAGAGAAGCCTGATAAAAATTAAAAGCGCAATAACAATTTTAAGTAAAAATTTTGTTAGTTGCGTAAATATCACAGACCATGTACGGTTGTCCCAACACATTTTATCAATGTCACATTTAATTTGTATATCATACAACTGCTTAGAGGAAATAAGTCTCAAAAATAAAAGTTGACTTATTCAAAAACCTCTTAACACTGTTATAAAACTGGTAAAAATTCCACAAAAATACCATCATGTAAAATGTTAGCCAATGTTTTTACTCAAAAGTATTCATTTTTACCTTAGTGTATAAAAAATAAAAAATTAATGGAGATTAAAAAAAATGAGTCTTACAATACGTAATGACTATTATAGTTGTACAATATGCATACATATATATATATAATTTATCATATTGTAAAACATATTTTTTTGGCGAAAACAAAACAATTTTAAGGCGATATTAATCATAAAATGCAAATTAAATTAAATTAAAACAATGGTGTGCTTATAAATTCAAATACCGTGTTGGCCTATGATGTTAAGGATAGTGCAATTAATGTTAAAATATTTTATTCAATCTTGTGCCATTTCACAAATTAACAAAGAAAGAATGTGATAGGAAGTAAAATAAGTAGAAGCTTTTGGCTTTATTTACACAATAACACTCAACTGTATATGATTGAAAATTTACTACGATTAATAAAGCTTCTATAGTTTTTAAAAAGTAAACAGCATAAAAAAGAATAGAAAAATATTATTTTGTATTTAAAATATATTTATTTATATACAGTTGAATATTTGAGTAAAAATATTTATTTTTTTTTAATTTCAATTGAATCAATAATTTCAACTATATGACTAACATATCTAAATTAAGACTATTCTATATTAGCTGAATGTAGATTTATTCGAAATAATTTATGATCATAAATATCAATATAATTAAATTTATTGAATGAAGATAAAAACAAATGAGAAAACTCACTCTATATTCAGCTTAATTTCTTGCATATTTTGTTAATATTTATAATTGTTAGTAATTTTTATTGATGACAATGAATAAGAAACTTACATCAAGTGGTTTTTTCAATACAATCCAGCCAGATTCTGGTTGAATTTCAAAATAGTCCAAATCATCACCAGGATATGGTGCACTTAGTGTATAAACAATTGCTCCATTATTGTCCGCATCCTCATCAGATGCTGAAACTCTTAGGATATTGGTACCAATACTAGCATCTTGCTTTACATTCTCTACATATTTCTAAGAAATAAGAGAACATTTCAAGGTGTTATAGAAAATTAATTCTAGAACTATTTCAGTTTAAAAAAATAGTGCATATTAACCTACGACTTATTTTAAACATATCGAGTATTATAATAATTATTAACATTATTTTTTATACAATAATAATTTATAATGTTATTGCTTACTTGTCGGTCAAACAGCGGAGGATTATCGTTAACATCAGTTATTTCGACAGTAAATGAACAGACACCTTCTAGTGACGGATCGCCTTGATCAGTTGCTTTAATGGTGACTGAAACAAACTTACCATCGTCACCTTCTCTATCAAATACCTGAGGAAAAAATTTAATTTAAAAAATAAAATGATTCTATATAGAGGTAAGAACTTTGAAAAATGTATTAATAAAATTTACATTAAAGTAATTTTCATTAATATTTAAATTTTAACACAATAATTATTTTAGGTTGTGTGTAAAAAGTGTTCATACACAAATTAAATCCAAAATTTCTACTCCTTAAATAAAATTTATTTAAATCATTTAAATACCTTATTAGTGGATACTTCTCCGGTTTCTTCGTCAACAGTAAATTTAGTTCCTTTTTGATTTGGCTGCTGTACAATAGAATATTTCACTTGTCCATTTACTCCTTTATCTTCGTCCGTAGCGTGCACCTTTGGTATAAATCAAATTTTTTTTCAAATATTTTTTACAATTACATTTAATAAATTTATATATCAATAATTTAAAATGAAACTAATATCTCACCTTAAGCACAGGACTTCCGTTAGGAGCACCTTCTTCTACTTTAGGATTATATTTAGCACATTCTCGAAATACAGGCTTGTTATCGTTGACGTCAGTAATAAAAACCACCACAACTGCAGTACTCGTGTGAATAGTGGCGGCTCCATTAACACAACAAGCACCATCATCAACAGCTGTGACATTCAATTCGTACTTGTCTCGTTCTAATGATATAGACTTGGAATGGAGTCGTATGACACCAGTAATTTCCTCAATTACAAACTGACCAGAAGATGTGCCACTTCCAACGAATCCGAATCTGCGCGAATGTTAACAAATTTAAAATATACTTTTTAGTATAAAGATAAAAAGATAAAAAAATTATATTAAATAATTTTTAGCACTACTTTTTTATTTCTCAATAACCTCAATCCTACTAAAAAAAAAAAACTTTTAAGCACAACTTCTATGAATAATAATTGCGAAAGGTAAGTTGTAATTAACACAAAGTTAAATTACCTCACATTATCTCCATCTTTGTCAGATGCCACTACTGTAGTGACTAATGTATTTGGTCCTGCGTTCTCGTCAACATTAGGTGTGTACACTTGTTGTGAAAATTTTGGCTCTTCGTCATTTTTGTTTTTCGTGTAAATTCTGATGGTTGCCGTACCTGTTTTTGATGGTTCACCTATTAACAAAAAAACAATAGTAATCTAATGTAAAATGAAGTAATCGTTTAAAGTGAAATAAGAATAGTTATTTTAATTTTATCTAACAAGAATTATAACAAATATTGTTTTTTTCTTAAACTTTAAATCACTTTTACAAAGGTCATACCTTTGTCTTTGGCAGTCAGCACAAATTCGTAGTAAGCATTGTTGTTATCGGCATCCAGTTGTTTGTTATTATTAACAATCCCGGAAGAGTCAACAGCAAAGTGGTCATCACTAACGTGATATTCTATTTCAGCATTTTCTCCTGAATCTGCGTCCATTGCCTTTACTTTGAGTATAGATGTACCTAGAGGAATATCCTCATCCACATTGTGCGCTTGATAATCAGGCAATTCAAACTTTGGTGCATTATCATTAACATCAGTCACCCGAATAGTAAGCTAAAAATTATTTAAAAAATATATATTATATATATTTATCAATATAAAAGCCTCGTAAATACAATAACTCAGTTTAAAATACAATTGAAATTAATAAAATTTTACGATAAATAATCGAAAAAAGTATGCACATTAAATTTGGCTTCTCATTAATTTATAATACTTTTGAAATATTAGTATTGTTATAATATATAAATCCAATATTCTAAGAATAGGAAAATCACAAGATCTCAATATTTTTAGAATTTTTTTTTTTTATTGGGTTCTAATTTAAGAACAATTAACTCTCTAACTATAGTCCATAAAATAATAAAGGACATTGACTATTATCCACAGTACAGAAAGCAACGGAAAACTACTGCTCTTATTCCCATTTCCTAGGAAAAACACTAGTTCAACTATAGTTAACTGGATATGACAAGAATTAGTCTTTTGAAAAAAAAGAAAAAGATGACTAATATTCAAAAAAGACAAGATGTTAAATAATTACTAAGGTTCAATAGTTAAAGTATGATTCATTTAATAATTATATACCTCTACTGAAGTAGAAAAACCTCCAGAGTCTTCAGTGGCAGTGACAATCAAAGAATAAACATGTGGTTGTCTAAGATCTTCAAAGTCCAATTCTTTGGCTAGTTTAACGATTCCCGAAGTTGGTCCAATATTAAATGTACCAGCGCCTTGTCCTTGAGCTTTGAGTGTGTACCTTATTTCTCGATCCGCAAATGATTTAGCTTTCACTGATATAATACTGAAATAAATGAACGAAACAAACTTTTAACTAGTAAAAATAAAAATTTTACTTATTTTTTACTTTTAAATTGAACAGTTAAAAAAATAGGATAAGTTCATTCCTTGATTATAATAAACAAACATACCAACAAACCTTTACATTTTATGATTATATCTATTTGGGTTAAACTAACAAAATCATTGTATATAAAACGCTAAAAATAGAAGAAATATTTAGTGTTTGGTTCTCAATTAATATACTTACTCAGAATCTTTTTTTTGGTTTTCTGGAATTTCTGCTTCGTAAGATTGCATGTAAAATTGTGGAGCCCGTTTACCACCAACAATTGACAATCGTTCTTCGGGAGTAGATTGAAAACGCCGTTCATCCATTCGACCATTTTGGTCCTCAGCTTTAACATACAATACATACTCCATATCCAACTGGAATGGATCTGTTCCTCTGGTCCTAACTACACCAGATCGTTCGTCTACTTCAAACCTTCCACCAGCTATTTAACAAATATAATTAAGATTAATTAATAAATACTTATAAATATGTAAATCATATGAAAAATCATTAGTTTCTGTTGATTACATACTTCTATCGCGTACAATAAAATAATGAATGCTGTGATCAGTATCTGGATCTCTGGCTTGAAGCGTAAATATAGGCGTGTTTGGTGGTGCATTTAGCTGAACCACAGCTTGCATTGGTAGAGGACGATTTATAAAATACGGCGGTTCATCATTAACATCTTTTACATGGATGATGACCCTTTGATTATCGGTGTCTAGAAAATAATACAGCTGATTAATACATTTAATACAAGTTTACTATACTATTAAAGATTATATAATAACTACAAACATTGTCGCTAAATAATTACGATTGGAAACATGATACAAAATAAAAATAAAAATAAAAAGTATCTACTACTTAAAATTATGAACATTTTTTTTTTAAAAATTAAGCCTCAAAAGTATAATTAATTTCTAAACAGCGCAAAATTAAAATGTCCATCAATTGTAAAAATAGAAAAAAAAACTCTTTGAAAATTCATAAGATTTATTTTTCTACTAATTGCTATAATTTTTTATTGCATAAAGATCAATGAAAATTTACCGCACGTAAAATATGATCACGATGTGATTGTAAGTAATTTATCCAATGCAAAATATTTCATCACAATAGAATATCATGATTATCAAAAACGAAAGTTATTAAACAATCTAAAGAATAATAATTAAAGTAAAAAATTTAAATAATGTCTATTTTTTTTTTTTATGAATAAGTCATAGGATTTGCATCCCACATAATTATATTTAAAAAATAGAACAAAATAATATGACATGCTGCTTGATTTAAAGCTACGAAATATGAATGAATGTCTATGATGAACCCATAAACTCGTAATTTAGAACTAGAAAAGGTTATTTTACTTTATATTATACTTTAACTTCAATAATAACGCCTACTTTATGCATAGTATAGTGTTCATTCCGGTTTTTATTAAAATAAGAATGCCTAATTTTTATAGTTTATAAAGTAGAATTGTAACTGAGTCAATAAAAAAAAAACCAAGCGATGAAATTCAGTACCTATTATTATTATAAATGTGTATATATTTCTGATGAACCTACACATCAGTGGTAGAAATCAGGTCGATTCAAGCACATAAATCACAATTCGTGTGCATTGGCTTGGGGCAAATAGAAATATTTATAACAGTATTAAATATTAAAATTCTTTATTATTATATCTTTTGGAATTTCATTGAAACAAAACACACATTTTTTATGACGTTATATTACCTTTCGCTACTAATAAATGTATAGACCCTTAGGGGGCTAAATATTTTGTAATATTAGAAACGTGGAACACGGTGAAAAAGTTGTTAATATATGATCCGCTATAATTTGTGTCACACACTGCAGAATATATCAATGTCTCACAATGAAGGAGGAATATTATAAGTAGAACTTTTACAAAGAATTTGTTTGAAACATTTTTAATCATCGTGTTTAATATTACATTTAAGTATAATTTACACAAATCTTTGAGAAAGGATAGTTACACTGTTAATTTAAGAGCATTTCGCTTGGAGCAAATAATTAAGGGAAATTTAAGTTAATGATTAGAAAAGTGTGAACACTGAAGTAGCCAGAAAATGTTTTTGAAAAAATTTATTGCCAAAAATGTAATGAGTAAAAAAATATCAAAACCTTAATATGTATGTTCTTTAAATTTTTATATAAGAAATCTTTTATGTATTATTGTATGCAAAATTTCAAGATATTTTGCGAACTTAAAATATAATTTATAAAAATAACTCTTTTACTTTCACCATATCGCAAAAATGTATTATTTTATTAAATATAATAAGAATTGATCACTTGTGGATAATTAATTAAATAAAATTAAAACTAAAAATATTATTAATTTAAATAACTAAGAAATATTAAACTCAAAAACCACAAAAAAATTACTGAAAAGTCGCGGATATATATTTCGGAAATAATGTTACCATTATCAACGCTAAACACATACTGACAGTTTTAATTGAATTTAATTATTTTATTAAACTCTAAAAAAATCCAATGCATGCGAAAAGTATAATTTTTTTTTTTTTAATAAATTATATTTGATTAAATAATTCTAATAATATCTGTTATTTTATTTATTTTAATAGTCAAATTTTAAACATGTTTTTTAAATATTAAAAATATATTTATTTATTAGTTGATGTATATGAAATTTAATTTTAAAAAGATTAAGTTAGCACTTTATAATGAAAAATTATAACACAATGTTTTTGTAGGCACAAAGCTAGAAAGTGGTTCCTTTTAAAATTAATGAACATGAACGATATAAACAGTTCCTTTAAATTTTAATGTTTCTAAAAATGTTTTCCTTGTATCTAGGTGTTATAAATAAAAATTAATTTTCTATTAATATTTTTTGTATTGAAGTCTGACAACCCTAATTATATATCTGTATTATGTCTCCCATTATGTTATCAACATTTTATAATTTTAATATTCTACTACTATACTACTAGTGTAGTATATTATACTATAGTATACTTTTATTTATTTTTTTATTAATTTTTCAACAATATTAAATACATTTTTATACTAAAATCTTATTTCTTAAAAGCACAGGTTCATAGTCGGGCCTTAATTCTACCACAGGACCTCTCAAAAAATATAATCTATACTATAATTATAAACTATATTTATAATATTAATAAAATAATAGTAAGTATTTAGATAATTTTTTAACAAAAAAGGATATATAATGAGTTCTTATTTTAAAAATGAATCGTAGAAAGGAATAAGTTCCATTTAAAAAAGAATTTTTTTAACAATAAAAATAATAAATGTTTAAAGTACACACTACAACTCACTAAGAAATAAGAGAATTTCATTTTATATTTATAATATGCGGTAATGAGACCTAGAGTATATTTCTTTAGATGGAATTTTTATGAAAAAAAAAAAAATGTTTAACAATCTTATAAGCTATAATAATTATATAATCATATATAATATTTTCGAGATTTTCGAGAATTTAAATTTCAGAAAACGCGAATACTTTGCAAAATAATGTAAAGAAAGGATCTAATAATTTATCCTTCACGAATTACAAAATTAAACTAGCAATTTTAATTATGATTTTTTTATATTATATCATTTGATTTACACAAATCAACTAGCAGATTATTTGTTTGTAATAATGTTTGACACCTTTGGTACATTAACCAGTCAAATAACCGACATTAAAAGTATTTTACCGAGTAAGCTTTAAGACAAATCATAACAATAACGTATTATTATCTTTTTTGTACACAAAATGACTGAAAACAAATTGAATAAAAGCGGCATTACAATCGTTTACACTACATCTATACATGCATATACTAACAATACTGTAATACAAATATATTTTACAATAACGTTCTACGCGCACACACAAAGCCGAACAAATCGATAACAACAAAACTAATAACGACTACAAGAATAAATTAGTAAAAACTACTGTTTTTTAAATCATTATTTTCGATTTTTAGATATACTTACATTTGACTCCTTGAGGAATTAACATGAAAAAGAAAAAAATTATGTTAGTATACATTAATATTTAAAATACAACGGGAGTTTTAAAGTGTTACATTATTAATAGGATAGGTTTATACAATAGATAGCTAAACGAAAATTGTTCGTGGTTGTTATACACCCACATAAAACCAATAAAGAGTGATCTTGTCTAAAATAATAGTTTACTATTGTTATAATGTACTCGGCACATACTGATAGTCATCGGTCAGTATCGTCATGACGTTCATCATTTATATTCGTTTCAACCCTCGTGACAAAACTAATCATCTATTAAACATATATTTAGTGGAAAAAGACCAAGTCTTTGTCTAAATTAATGATAAAACTATTTAATAAACTTAACACTTAATCGAGTTAAGCAATTCAAAATAATCCTACGTTGTTTAAACCTTACAATCACATTGATTTCATTTCAATACTAAGGTAGAAGCAAATTACATAGGGCTTTTTTTCGTAATATTTAACAAAACCAAATATTGTATTTTTTTAACAATTCAATAATAGGGTGCTAATTTTAGTAATTGTTTATTTTTGTGTACAAATACACAATCATTATCTATTAAAATTATACGCATCTACCTTCACATATATTTCATTTCTTTATGCACTGCAATGAATTAAATAACAAGAGAAGTTTTGTTATTTGGACTTAGAGAAGCCTTCAAAGACAATGTCGTATTATATTTTTTATGTTTAATACGTGATGATTGTCATAATGGTGTATATTTCTTCTGACAAGAGTTGACAAGAAACAAGGAAAATTTAACACTGAATAATTCACCACCACAGCCCACCCATTTTTCACTGGACCATGTAATACTTAGTGATTTAGATGGCTTCGCCATGTCATTACTTAGCACGTACGCATATAGTTGGTGTCTTATTTTTGGAACAATTTGGCTTTTATGACATTCGATTGCACATTTTACGTCAAAATTAGGTTTACTGAGAACTGTAAAAGTTAGCCACGTTTATATTAAAACATGGTAATAAAAAGCAAAACATTTTTAAAGATTTCATTCAGTCAGATATCAAAAAATGCCAAACATACCTTTGAAAATAATATTAACTTGAATAAATTTGTACGGGCAGAAAACTAACACTGCATAATCAAAAACAGATTTATTACCATAAAATGTTTTAAAAGATATGTATAATTTATGAAACATTTTCAATGAAAATGAAAATGAATTCATTGCAAAATACATAGATAATATATTAAGGAGTGTAAATTTTAATTTTTGTCATCATCGTTTGTTTCTTAAAATATATCTTAAAATTTTAATCTCATGTAATTATCATGTTTCACGTATTACTTCTTAGGACCTGTGTTTAATTCTGTTCGATAAAATTGATCGCCTATCAAGAAATATGTATCTGTAATAATTTAGAAATGATATAGAACGCATAAAACAACATTAGCGTGGATTAACCACATATGCATCATATGTGGTTTTATATAATCTCATAGTATACATTATTAATAGAAGTTTTTCTCTTTTTATACTACTAAGTACAATTTTCAACTCATTTTTAGATTGTATATATCACATGTGGATCTTAATAAAAGCATAAGAAAATTTTTTAATTAATACAACTAAATGGACCTCGTCCAATGTTTTCTCACAAAATCCATAATGATATAAACCAGACCAACTTGAAATTTATAAAA